CCCTCTTAACAGCCCCAGAACATAATGTACCTTAGAGGAATCAGTAGAAAACGACAGTGGTCTCTGCCGAAAAATCAAGTCACACTGAAGCAAAAATCCCCGGCACTTGTCCAATTCTCCATTGAACGGTTCAGGCGACGTGACAGGGGGTTCCCGATGGAACGAAGCCTGCATAACGTCGGAGGAACCAACTTGGGGTGCATCAAACTGAGGGTCAGAGAGAGATGGAGAACTGATAACAGACAATTTAGAGACTTGTGTAGTTAACTGAGTCACCTGGTTCAGCAGTTGATGATTATTTTCCAAAAGAGTCCGAATCAATTGGTCATGCTGTCCTAGCAACGTTCCTTGAGCCTGGATAGCTTGTTGGAAGCTGTCTTCGTTTGCCCCGTGCTGTTTCTCTGTTGGGTCCATGGCCAGATCGTTCTGTTAGGCTATGGTTAAACCCAGCACTCAGAGAAACAAAACACGACTAAGGGAGTGGAAGAAACAAAAATGCTTTTAATAAAAATACAATTTGTCTTAGTCCAAAAAACAACTGAAGAAAAGGAACAGAGTGGGCTAGTCGGCTCCGGAGGAAGGAGAGGCTGAGGCAGGCAGGCAGGCAGGCAGGAATGTCTGAACTGAAGACAAAACAAACGACAGGTTAAGGAGAGTAAAGAGCCAGGCTGAAGACAAAGACAATTAAACTCTACTGGTGCGCTAAGTTACCGCTCTAGTAAGAACAACGATCTGGCGCCGGTGGAGAGCCATGCCCAGGAATTAGTAGTGCAGGTTGATGAGAGAATAGGATGCAGCTGCGTAGGCAGGAATCACTGGAAACAACCCGCAGCTGCACAGGAGAGGCAGATCATGAGCACGCCCTCCGATCCACTCCAGACACACACCGGCAGACGCACCAACATAATGGGGACAAACCCACATACGACAGATAAAGAGGGGACAAAACAAGGAGGAAGGGAACCAGAAAAGGGAGAGACAAGCTGCCCACATAACAGAAGGTCTTACATGTGTTGACTCATACTGCTTTTTCCCTTCCTTTGCTTGGGTGAGCTGGATGCCACACTAACTCAAGCTGAACTGGAAGAGGTGGCTGCAGCTATGGTCCATATTGTGTCGAAAACCGTCTCCACACTGACAGGATCCTGCCTGACCCAAATGCTTCAAATGGTACAATTACATAAGAGGCTGTCTGTTTGACAGGTGTTTATCAAAGTGAAACCACCAGAACACTATCACTCACAAGATAGACCAAAAACAGTGAATAAAGTGATTGTTTGATTGAAACTAATGATTAATTACATGTTGACTAAATATTTTATGTTACCCTTTCCTGATAGGATTTAATATATTCTGACTGCTGTCTCTAGGTTAGTCTTGTCTGGCACAAACAATTGTAGCTGAATGTATTGTTAATACCACCCCAAAAACATATCCATAACCATGCTGTTTCATTCTGTGATCTCATTAATAATTTACATAAATGTCTGTGTGTGCTACGTTGTGGTATTTTTTCCTGTGTTGTCAGTTGCAATGGTCAAAATAACAAGCATTGCAAATGTATTCATATATTTTCTTCCTTTGATTTTGGTCTAGTTGCCAGTTCCCACATCATAAATTGTGTACTCTGCAGGGTTTTCCCTCTATATAATAGTACTTGTTGATGAAAATAAAATCATATGATGTAATATACATACACTGACACTCAGTGGCCAGTTTTTAGATACACCCATCTAGTACCGGGTCGGAAAACCCTGTAGCCATGAAGGGATCACTTGGTCAGCAACAATGTTCAGATACGCTGTGGCATTCAAATGTTGCTCAATTGGTATCAAGGAGCCTTACATGTGCCAGGAAAACATTCCCCACACCATTACACCACCACCACTAGCCTATACCGTTGACACTGGAACTCCGGGACTCAGCTGCTTCCAATTTTTTGTAAATTGGTAATTTAAATTTTTAGTTAATGTTTAAAAAAAAACCCCTTCCCAACTTAAACCCAAAACCACCACCCCCTATAAAAACCCGTTAAAAACTGGATTGGGCTCAAATTTTTTTTGAAATTTATTTGGGGGTTTACTGGGCCAGGAAGGTTCCTTCCAATGGGGTTTTTTGTGTAAATTGGATAGGGAAAAAAAGATTTAAAATTTTTTGAAAAATGAGGCGTCTGGAAAAAGGGGAAAAAGGGGAAATTTTTCCCCCAAACCCCCTTTAAAAACGCTAATGCCCTTTCAAAATACAAATTTGGGATTTTTTTGGTTTGATTTGGATTTATTTGGGGCCCGTAATGGCTTTTTTCCCAAAAAGGGGAAAATTTTTTGTTGAATGAAAAGAAAAAAAAACTTTTTAAAAAAAAAAAAAATGGAAAAAAGGTTCAAGGGTTTTAAATTTTTAAATCCCTTAAATAAAACGGGGAACCCCTTCCCTTGGGGACCAAAAGTTAAAAAAATCCCCCTTTTCACGGGTTTTTCCTACTTTTGTTGATTAAACCTGTTTTTAAAGGGGATTTTTTTGGGAAACCAAAAGAAGGGGAAAAAAGGGGCCCCCAAAAGGGGCCCAAAATTGTTAAAAGGGGGGACAAATAAAAAAGGGAATTGGGGTTTAAAAAAAAAAAAGGGAAATTGGAAAATCCACGACACCCCCTTTAAATCCCCAAAAAATTGGTGGGAAACCAAAAACCTTCCCAAAAAATTCCCCCCCCAAAATTAAGGTAAAGGCCAATGTTTTAATCAAAATGGCACAAAAAAGCCCAAAAAAAACCCGAATACAAACCCACACCGGGGCTGGAAAAGGCCCAGGAATTTTGCCAAACCACAAGCTGGGGACCACGAAAGGGCCCCCAAAAAAAGCCCTTCGAAAAAAAAGAAAACCCTTTTGGGGTTTTCCCCAAACCCGGGGGGGACCCCAAAATTTTGGGAAGAAAGGGGTTTGGGGGAAAAAAAAAATTTAACTTTTTTCCCCCAGGAAAAACCTATTTTTGGAAAAAAAATCACCACAAAAACCTTCCCCCAAAAGAAAGGGGGGCCCAACAAACGGGGAGGGGCCGGGGGGAAAGGGCAAAATTAAGGGGGAGGGGGCAAAAAAAACCCGGGGAAAACCCCCAGGGGAAAGCTTCCAGGGGGATTTTGAGTACTTCCCTTAGGACCCCTTTTTTAAGCCGTTTAAACCCACGAGTGGGTTTAAGGGAAAAAGTTTGGCCAGGAAAAAACCAGCCCCCAAAAGAAAAAATAAAAAAAGTTTTTGGCACCAAAACCCCTTTGGGAATAACCCCCAAAAATAGGGAAAAATAATCTGGTCGATGAGACTAAAATTTAGCTTTTTGGCCTTAAAAAAGGTTTTTGGGTTTTAACCCCCGAGTAATACTTTAAAAGGGGGGGAAAAATCAGCTGTTTTTTCCAAGTGGTTTTTTTTTTTTTTTTTTTTTTTAAAAAAAAAATATCAGAAACTTTGAACATCCCACAGAGCACCATTAAATCCATTATTAAAAAATTGAAAGAAAATGGCACCACAACAAACCTGCCAAAAGATGGCCGCCCACCAAAACTCACGGACCAGGCAAGAAGGGCATTAATCAGAGAGGCAACAAAGAGACCAAAGATAACCCTGAAGGAGCTGCAAAGCTCCACAGCGGAGATTGGAGTATCTGTCCATAGGACCACTTTATAAGCCGTACACTCCACAGAGCTGGGCTTTACGGAAGAGTGGCCAGAAAAAAGCCATTGCTTAAAGAAAAAAATAAGCAAACACGTTTGGTGTTCACCAAAAGCCATGTGGGAGACTCCCCAAACATATGGAAGAAGGTACTCTGGTCAGATGAGACTAAAATTTAGCTTTTTGGCCATCAAGGAAAACGCTATGTCTGGCCCAAACCCAACACCTCTCATCACCCCGAGAACACCATCCCCACAGTGAAGCATGGTGGTGGCAGCATCATGCTGTGGGGATGTTTTTCATCGGCAGGGACTGGGAAACTGGTCAGAATTGAAGGAATGATGGATGGCACTAAATACAGGGAAATTCTTGAGGGAAACCTGTTTCTGTCTTCCAGAGATTTGAGACTGGGACGGAGGTTCACCTTCCAGCAGGACAATGACCGTAAGCATACTGCTAAAGCAACACTTGAGTGGTTTAAGGGGAAACATTTAAATGTCTTGGAATGGCCTAGTCAAAGCCCAGACCTCAATCCAATTGAGAATCTGTGGTATGACTTAAAGATTGCTGTACACCAGCGGAACCCATCCAACTTGAAGGAGCTAGAGCAGTTTTGCCTTGAAGAATAGGCAAAAATCCCAGTGGCTAGATGTGCCAAGCTTATAGAGACATACCCCAAGAGACTTGCAGCTGTAATTGCTGCAAAAGGTGGCTCTACAGAGTATTGACTTTAGGGGGGTGAATAGTTATGCACGCTCAAGTTTTCAGTTTTTTTTGTCTTATTTCTTGTTTGTTTCACAATAAAAAATATTTTGTATCTTCAAAGTGGTAGGCATGTTGTGTAAATCAAATGATACAAATCCCCCAAAAAACTATTTTAATTCCAGGTTGTCAGGCAACAAAATAGGCAAAATGCCAAGGGTGGTGAATACTTTTGCAAGCCACTGTAAATGTCAGAGGCAACCTAACCTGAGTTGTGATAACACTAACAAAGGGGTGTGTTAACAGCATGACATTGTGTTTAATGTATATCTGTGCCTTGACAATTAATGTTATGACATTCCTCCCTGGGGTTTTATATTACTATTGAAATAAAATAAAATATACATTAATAAAAATACATGACAAATCGTGGGACTCTTATTTTTAAATTGGTAATGCAGGACTTATTTTGGCATGACAAATCAACATACTTTGGGGGGCATGATAAATCAAGGTAATATTATTTTGAAATCGGAAATCAAAGGACTTTTATTTTGGCATGACAAAGCGAGGGAGTTTTATTTTGAAATCGGAAATGCAGGACTTTTATTTTGGCATGGCATATTAGGGGACATCTGAGCTGGATGCCTTATGTAACTCTGAGCCGTATGCTGGATGTAACTCTGAGCCGGATGCTGGATGTAACTCTCAGCCGAATGCTGGATGTAACTCTTAGCCGGATGCTGGATGTAACAATGAACCGGATGCTGGATGTAACTCTGAGCTGGATGCTGGATGCTGGATGTAACTCTTTGCCGGATGCTGGATGTATCTCTGAGCCAGATGCTGGATGTAACTCTCAGCCGGATGTTGAATGCTGGATATTACTTTGTGCTGGATGTAACGCTGAGCTGGATGTAACTCTGAGCTTGATGCTGGATGTAACTCTGAGCCAGATGCTGGATGTAACACTGAGCCGGATGCTGGATGTAACTCTGAGCTGGATGCTGGATGTAACTCTGAGCCGGATACAGTGTTACAGTGCTACAGCCCTTTCTGTAACAAGTGGCTTTGAAATTTGACAGACAGGGAAAGTGTATCAGTGAGCGTGGACCTGTGGTCATTTGTGGACATCATGAGACAGTAGATAATGTTGAACATTTAGTTTATGGAGATATAATTGTGGAAATTTAACAAACCCCAAAACTACAAAATAATGTATGTTTACAATCCAAAATATAACAAACATAGCAGCTACAACATATGCACCTATCCGGTGTATGTGACAATAAAACATTCTCTCAACCAGCTTCATGAGGTAGTCACCTGGAATGTATTTCAATTAACAGGTGTGCCTTGTTAAAAGTTAATTTGTGGAATTTATTTCCTTCTTAATGCGTTTGAGCCAATCAGTTGTGTTGTGACAAGGTAGGGTTGGTATACAGAAGATAACCCTATTTGGTAAAAGACCAAGTCCATATTATGTCAAGAACAGCTCAAATTAGCAAAGAGAAACGACAGTCCATCATTACTTGTCTCTTCTTCTTATTGGTGTCCTTTAGTAGTGGTTTCTTTGCAGCAATTCGACCATGAAGGCCTGATTCACGCAGTCTCCTCTGAACAGTTGATGTTGAGATGTGTTTGTTACTTGCGTTCGCAAAGTATTCAGACCCCTTGACTTTTTCCACATTTTGTTACGTTACAGCCTTAACCTACACACAATACTCCATAATGACGAAGCAAAAACAGGTTTTTAGAATTTTTTGCAAATGTATTACAAATAAAAAACTTAAATATCACATTTACATAAGTATTCAGACCCTTTACTCAGTACTTTGTTGAATCACCTTTGGCAGCGATTACAGCCTTGAATCTTCTTGGGTATGATGCTACAAGCTTGTCACTTGTATTTGGGGAGTTTCTCCCATTCTTCTCTACAGATCCTCTCATGCTCTGTCAGGTTGGATGGGGAGCGTCGCTGTACAGCTATTTTCAGGTCTCTCCAGAGATGTTCGATCGGGTTCAAGTCCGGGCTCTGGCTGGCCCGCTCAAGGACATTCAGAGACTTGTCCCGAAGCCACTCCTGCGTTGTCTTGGCTGTGTGCTTAGGGTCGTTGTCCTGTTGGAAGGTGAACCTTTGCCCCAGTCTGAGGTCCTGAATGCACTGAAGCAGGTTTTCAACAAGGATCTCTGTACTTTGCTCTGTTAATCTTTCCCTCGATCCTGACTAGTCTCCCAGTCCCTGCCGCTGAAAAACATCCCCACAGCATGATGCTGCCACCACCATGCTTCACCGTAGGGATGGTGCCAGGTTTCCTCCAGACGTGACGCATGGCATTCAGGCCAAATAGTTCAATCTTGGTTTCATCAGACCAGAGAATCTTGTTTCTCATTGTCTGAGAGTCCTTTAGGTGCCTTTTGGCAAACTCCAAGCGGGGTGTCACGTGCCTTTTACTGAGGAGTGGCTTCCGTCTGGCCACTCTACCATAAAGGCCTGATTGGTGGAATGCTGCAGAGATGGTTGTCCTTCTGGAAGGTTCTCCACAGAGGAACTCTAGAGCTCTGTCAGAGTGACCATCGGGTTCTTCGTCACCTCCCTGACCAAGGCCCTTTTCCACCGATTGCTCAGTTTTGCCGGGCAGCCAGCTCTAGGTAGAGTCTTTGTGGTTCCAAACTTCTTCCATTTAAGAATGATGGAGGCTACTGTGTTCTTGGGGACCTTCAATGCTGCAGAATTTTTTTGCTATCCTTCCCCAGATCTGTGCCTCGATACATTCCTGCTCTATGGACAATTCGATCGACCTCATGGCTTGGATTTTGCTCTGACATGCACTGTCAACTGTGGGACCTTATATAGACAGGTGTGTCCCTTTCCAAATCATGTCCAATCAATTGAATTTACCACAGTTGGACTCCAATCAAGTTGTAGAAACATCTCAAGGATGATAAATGTAAACAGGATGCACCTGAGCTCAATTTCGAGTCTCATAGCAAAGGGTCTGAATACTTACGTAAATGTGTATTTTCCATTTTTATATTGAATACATTTGAAAAAATGTCTAAAAACCTGTTTGCTTTGTCATTATGGGGTAATGTGTGTAGATAGATGAGGGGAAACAAACAATTGAATCCATTTTAGAATAAGTCTGTAATGTAACAAAATGTGAAAAAAGTCAAGGGGTCTGAATACTTTCTGAATGTTGTTAAGTTACAGCCTTATTCTAAAATGGATCATCTCAACGATGATCAATGGAAACAGGATGCACCTGAGCTCAATTTCGATTCTCATAGCAAAGGGGCTGAATGCTTATGTAAATAAGGAATTTCCGTTTTTTATTTTTAATAAATGTGTAAACATTTCTAAAAACCTGTTTTCGTTTTGTCGTTATGGGGTATTGTGTGTAGATCGCTGAGGCTTTTGAAAAATTTAATACATTTTAGAAAAGGCTGTAACGTAACAAAATGTGGAAAAAGTAAAGGGGTCTGAATACTTTCCGAAGGCACTGAATATAAGGCAAAAACTGCCAAACAGTGGCATTCTCAAACTCAAAACAAATATAGAGGCTACTTTAGAGCGAATGGCCATTATGAGGTCACTAACGTTTAATGTAACAAGACGTATCCGTTGAATGTAACTGGTTTTGGCAGATATTTGCTTCCAAGTTTGATACAAAATATAGAAAGGATGATTTTGATGTACATGGACCATTGTTTATTTTGTGGATTGGAATGGAAAGTAATAGCACAGATAGCATAAAGAGCGTTATAAATATTTGGTAATAGGCCTATTCTAGTCACCATATGTAAGCCTATGCTACATTCTTGATATTGAACTATTATTACACGTTGTTTTGATTATGTAACGTTATAATGCTTATTATGAGAAATAAAGCCAAGGCATGAATGAGCAATTGAGGGCTAATGCGAGTGTGTTACTTCGCTCTGAGGTAGGATGGATGAATCCTGTTTGTTGGGCAACATAGGCTAATAATAACAGTTACTGTGTCATAAAGATCCAGACCTCTTGGCAGAGGCTTTGCATACAGGGAGGTTTCTACAGATAGTCTAACCTACTGTAGGACTAGCCAAGGCATAGTGTTTGCTTGAATGTACATTTCGCAATAGCCTGCAAGGGGGCTTTTCTGGACCACTATTGAGGTGTGGTGGTCTTACTGGTGCTTTTACAGTCGCCGAATCATCACCCAGGTTGGGTACTACATTTCAGTAGTGGAGATGATCCAGCCCACCTACGGAGGATGAGCTGTGACTATCGAAGACGACCAGGTGCCTGTTGAGGAGCTCTGTGGCCTGTCAGTCAGATGTCTCTACCTCCCTGCCTGGCTGTACCATCTATGCTCCCTCCTCTCAAGATACTACCTTTCTGAACTGCCTATAAAGATGTGGAAGACCATCGCCCAAATACTGCAAGATCCCTATATTTGTTCTGTTAAAGATGCACTATGCAGAAAGCCATTTCCTGGTTGCTAAAATTCTAATAGTTCGCCTAATTTCAGTTTATGTGACAAAACAAGCAGTCATTGTGTAGAGAATCATTGTAACATCTAAACCGCTGTGGAAATCACTTCCATAACCAAAAGTATTGTATTTTCAGCTGTTTGAAGCTGGTGTACAAAACCGAAAGTAAAAGCAAAAACTAAATTTAAGAACGGGAAGTATAGAAATAGTGCACATAGAACAGATCTACCACTTCTTAGACTTGCTTTAAATGTGAAGGAAAGGACTATTACTCACAATTCTATGTGAATTTGGTCAGGTCACCAAAAAAGTTACGTATTGTAGCTTTAAATTGTTTTTGGTTTATTTTTAAAGCGACTTTGAAATTCTACTTGGAATAAAAGCGCTAGCTCTATAAAATAAATATATTTCCGAGTGGCGCAGTGGTCTGAGGCACTACATCTCAGTGCTTGAGGCGTCACTACAGACCCCCTGGTTCAATTCCAGGCTGTATCACAACCGGCTGTGATTGGGAGTCCCATAGGGCGGTGCACAATTGGCCCAGCATTGTCCGGGTTTGGCTGGTGTAGGCTGTCATTGTAAATAAGAATTTGTTATTAACTGACTTGCCTAGTTAAAATAAAAATATATGTATTATTATAACTAGCTACCAAGAAGCTATTTCAGGCTATGAATCAAGTTATCTTAGCTGGCATGCCTGCTGGTGAGGTTGGTAGACTTTAGAAAAGCAAGCAATAACTAAATGTACTGAATAAGACTCACATTCCTTTCAATCTTTTACCCAGATTTTAGCAAAGATGCAGAGAAGCATATTTAGTTTTTTTTTTTTTAAATGGAGGATACAGACAGCTCAAGAGGTACGCTTAGATATGCAGAAAAATATCCATACTTTTTTTTAAACATAGAATTAAGCATAATGATTATGGCTCTAGATTGCAGGAAAAAGCAGTTTCAGGTGTTTGAAAAATGCAAAATTCTCCAACTTCCTGACTGGGGGCGGCCAGCCATCCTCACGTACTTTGTGCCCCCTCAGATTTTTGGGATGCATGACGCCCCTGCCTGCAAAACATAAACAAGCTTTGGAAAACAATTGGCTTGTTTTGTAGACTACCTCTCTCTCTTTGCTCAATGACAATTACACAACGACCCCGCCCTCTTTGTCCGTCTGATTGCGCCTGCTCAGTCCGCCCCTCTGTACTTTCTTTTTCTCCTTCACTGTGCCCTATTGCGCGAGACCCAGACTGTTCTGAAACTCCGCGCATCGCCCCGCAAATAAGGTAGGGAATTCATAACACCAACGATATTTTATTCAGAAAAACTTTCACGGCTATTTGAGTGATATTGAAATAATATTTTACTCATTTGATTTTTGTTTAGATGGCTCAAAGTGTGGAAGCGAGAGTACAGTGTGGTAGGCTACAGAATAGTAGGGCTGCAGGACAGGGCAGGCCTGACTATCTGACAACTGCAAATGTCTCAGTACTTTTACATATTCAGGCATTACAACTTTCGGACAAAGTAGATAGCACTAGGCTATGTAGGTTTATTATAGGATATACATAAACTGATTATATAGCCTATAATAAAAATGTTGATGCTAACTAGTGAGTATTTCGCACAGTATTTAACTTTTAGTGCCAATTACAGTCTCAGAATTTCAGCAGAATATTAAAATGGCTAGACAGTTATTGTCAATTCAATTGTAGATTTTGTGAATTGTAATTTTTTTCTCCAGAGTATCTGGTTCTAGCACTATACATTTTTGCAAACATGAGCAATGCATTTAACTATGAACAATTGAGACCTAGGCTAGCCATCTGTCTATTCCAAAGGGCAATTATGTGAGCCCATAAATTACGCCCTATATAATACATTGTCAGTGTTTTATAACATGTTTTGTAAATTTGTATGCCCATTAACAGCATGGTTTGTGCCCCAGAAACAAAGAGGGTTAGATTTATCCTCGTGTTGGCATAGTGCTCTTTACGCATGCTGGTTCTGATGTAACACGCAGCAATTCAATAATCCATCGCCAGAAGGTCGGCCCACAACAGAAATGAAAGTGAAATACGATTTGGAATTTCAAGTCATTGTGAAAAAAGAGTAATCACAATCCAATTGTACCTATGGACAACAAAGAATGATCCAAGCCTTGCTTCTTATTGTCTGAAGCAGTAGGCCTAGTCCTTTTAATAAGTCTGAAGAGAGTAGGCCTATAGCCAGTGATAGTACGTTCAATTTTAGACTCAGACGGTAAAATAATGCTGTTAATCACAATTTAGGTTCCTTGGCTGTGTTTAGTGTTGAGCAGATGAATAATTAGCTCCATATACACAGGCTGAATATCAACCCCTATAGGAAATGGCTGTCCTGAAGTGCCTGGCGTTGGCTGGAAGGAATTTACATTTCGGTCATTTAGCAGATGCTCTTATCCGGAGCATCTTACAGGAGCAATTAGGGTTAAGTGTCTTGCTCAAGGGCACATCAACAGATTTTTCACCTAGTCAGCTCGGGGATTTCAACCAGCAACCTTTCCACTAGGCTACCTGTTGAGTAGGCAATGTGGTAGCCATAGCTAACCCATGCACCACTGTATATTCAGGCCATAAATTCACTAGGTGTAGCCTAATTTGGCTGCCTTCGACCTTATCTCACACTCACACGTTCCACTACCAACATGCCATCTGTCTATTAGGCCCACCTGGATTACCATTAACTAATGAGTAACAAAGCATGATATAATAATGGCTTTTAAAGGTGCAATATGCAGAAATCGCTCCTCCATTTCCTGGATACAAAAATTCTAATAGTTCGCCGAATTTCAGTTTATGTGACAAAACAAGCAAGTGTAGAGAATCATTGTACCGTCTAAACCGCTGTGAAATATATTTTAAATAACCAAAAATATTGTATTTTCAGCTGTTTGAAGCTGGTGTACAAAACAGAAAGTAAAAGATGCAAAAACGAAACTTAAGAACGGGAAGCATAGAAATATTACACATAGAACATATCTACCACTTCTTAGACTTGCTTTCAATGCGAATGATATATCTATAACTCACATTTCTATGTGAATTTGGCAGTTTATAAGCAGACCTTAAGTAAAGCGTCACCCTCGCCTGTCCCTAGTCTGTCTCCATCACCAAACCAGTGTCTCTGGGCTGGCATGATAATAACTTTTGCAGCTGACTGATATCCCCAACAATGGTGCTTATTTAGTTTGAATAGCATAAAGACCCAGGAATACAATTGTGAATACTGGCTGTCTGGTATCTACATTTCCCAGGATCCCACTGGATGTGTTATATCCATTTGGTCATTTGGGCCAGCCAAGTTGTTGTCTGAGTGTGCACTTGTTTTCCTGTCCTGTGCATAGCTGATTTATGAATGTCCTTGTGACCCCTGGAGCTCAGTGAATGTGTGTTTGACATTTGTTTGGGGGACAGGCTAGTGAAGGGGTCAGAGGAGGCGAGTGAGAAAGAGAGAGAGAGTGGGAAGTCAAGAGAGAGGAAAGTAGGGGTCAAGGGTGGAGATAGGAAAGAGTGTGCGTCTATGGGGGTGTGGGTTGGGTAGGAGTGATGAGAGGTGTGTGTGAGGTTAGGGTAGCAGGAGGTAGAGGGGTAAAGCATCCATTTCAAAATGGCATGGTCATATGAGGCATGGTGTCAAGTCCACCTGGGTTATTTATAGAACAGGGGTCAGGGGGAGAAGGGGGAGGAGACAGTGAGGAAGCTGGGAATAAGGGACTGAGTAAGGAGGAATGGAAGTGAGAAGGGGCGTGTGGTTACGTGTGTGTGTGTGGGGGGTGTAACTGACAAAGACAGATCCCACACCGTGCTGGGTCTGCAGAATGGCCCCTCACATCAGCCAGCCTACTGTCATAAAGTCCCTGAGCATAGACAACAGCACTGAGGAAAACATAGAGGACAGGACTGCTCTCCTCACATCACTCACATTATGGAGTGAGGTGTGTTTGTGTGTGTGTGTGCGCGCGTGTGTGTGCGTATGTGTGTGTGGTAGGGGGTGAGTGAGTCTAAATTTCCAGTGACACCAGGGTAACCATCACCACGGAAACAAATCATCCACCTCACTGCTGTGTCCCCAAATCACCAGATGCTCTCGTACCACAGTAAGGTATGTGTGTGTTACCAGATCATCAGATGTTGTCATAGGTGGTGTGTGTTTGTCATCTATACAGCCGCGGGCCCTTTGGGTGATAAACATATCAGCAGTTCTCTATATGGGCCATAGAGCACTGCTTTATCAGTGCTGAGGACACACCCTCTGGTCCCCTGTAGCTCAGTTGGTAGAGCATGGCGCTTGCAACGCCAGGGTTGTGGGTTTGTTTCCCACGGGGGGCCAGTATGAAAATGTATGCACTCACAAACTGTAAGTCGCTCTGGATAAAAATGTAAATGGTTCAGTATAATAGGGTGTCCACCGTGAAAACGTGCTTTGGTGATGACATTTGTATTTATCATGGATCCCCATTAGCTGCTGTCAAGGCAGCAGCTACTCTTCCTGGGGTCCAGCAAAATTAAGGCAGTTATACATTTTAAAAACATTACAATACATTCATAACAGATTTCACAACGTATTAAATGTGTGCCCTCAGGCCTCTACTCTACTACCACATATCTATAACATCACTTTATATTATAAAATACATTTTACCAAGACAAATATGATTCTTCGTGTTCTGAATAGTTCAGTGGGGTCTTTCTCTAACATATCATTAAAGCTACAATATGTAACTTTCTGGGCAACGCGGCCAAATGCACATAGAAATGTGAGTTATAGATCTGTCATTCTCATTGAAAGCAAGTTTAAGAAGTGGTAGATCTGTTATAGGTGCGCTATTTCTATGCTTCCCGTTCTTAAGTTTCGTTTTTGCATCTTTTACTTTTGGTTTTATACTCCAGCTTCAAACAGCTGAAAATACAATATTTTTGGTTATGCAAAAGATATTTCACGGCGGTTTAGATGGTACAATGATTCTCTACACTATACTTGCTTGTTTTGTCACAAACTGAAATTAGGTGAACTATTAACATAGGGCACCTTTAACATTATATCCAAAAAGTTGGATTTTCGTAACCTAATACATTCAATAATAAGCACCAAGCTCTGTTGACAGAGTGGTGCAGCTTTCTTGCTGAAACTTTTAGAGGATTTTACATTTTGTGTTCGTTATCTTCCTAGTTGTTTCCACTCAGTGCTCCATTGACATTTCAGAGATACGCTTGTTTTTGTGAGAAGTCTTCCAAAATGAACTTCCTATTAATATGAACAGTGTATTCTAAAATATGAAAATACTACAAATCAATATCTATCTTACATCTATATTGTTTTCTGTCCTTCGGATTTGAGAAGAAAGATGAGGAGTTCAATGGTAAGCCTGTCAGGTACCTTCATTCTTGCACAGCATCCAGCCTATCTGACGCAATGCTATTTTCCAGATTTTTGGCCACTTCTTTTCGCTGGCCTCCATTGATTTAGTCGCCCTAATTTTTACCACCAATACATTTTTTACGGATTATGATAGAGACATGAGGTTTGGACCAGTCCAGTTAAACCAAAGCAGACCAAACTCACAGTACACACACCACTAGCATTGTTGTGAAAACAGTGAGAGATTGCATGCCTAAGTCTTCTGTCCTTCCTTGTACTCTTCCCCACATCTGAAGAGTCATGTCAGACAAAGGAGGAGAGAAGGCGAGCGTGGTGAGGAAGGAGGCGAGTCCAGCAGCACAGGCCAATCAGAACAAAGGAGCTCCCTGTGCGCCATGTTGCCACAAGGGTGAGTGAGGGAGGTGGGGGAGAGAGGGACAAAGATGTCATCAGGGTCCCCTGGACTGTCTCAATCGATCGATCAATCTATCATTCAGATGTTACAGATGTATAGCACTTATTACAAACACAAGTGTCAGAGAGTACTTAAAGGGATACTTCAGGATTTTGGAAATGAGGCCCTTTATCTACTTTCCAAGAGTCAGATGAACTTTTGGATACCATATTTATGTTTCTGCATGCAGTTTGAAGGAAGTTGTTAACTAGTTCTAACGCAATTGCTAACTAGCGTTAGCGCAATGACTGGAAGTCTATGAGTGTCTGCTAGCAGGCTCACGTAACTACCTCTAACTTCCTTCATACTGGACACAGAGACATAAAAATGGTATCCACAATTTCATCGGACTCTGAGGAAGTAGATAAAGGGCCTTATTGTCAAAATCCCGAAGTATCCCTTTAAGAAACACTGGGCTTTTTCCCACACCCAACAGTCCTTGTTTCCATTCTTGCCCTGTCCTTGTCGCCATTCCGTCACAACTACGGATGTGAGAGGACTTGATAGGTAACGTGATACGTTACATGCCACTAATCTGAAAGGGCATATATTAAAGTGGTCATTGAGGGGAAAAAAACTTGAAAGGAGACAAGGGTAGGAAGGTATTAGGAGTGTTGGGACAGCCCCTAGTCACCAGCAAGAGCAGAAAGAGACACACTGCCACAGCAAAGTCACCTTCACACACACACACACACACACAGGTCCAATATCCAAGCAGAGACACAGGGGACCATGGTGACATTATAAAAGTTAGCATAGTGCAGTTGTGTGCAGTGGTAGTTGCTGACCAGCCAAACTCTGGCTTAGGCTTAGGCTTAGGCTTACTTTCGTTCAATAGCGCATAGTGGCATACTAGAGTGAGTGCTGTGGCGTATACCGCGATCGCTATATGGCATACATCTGCTTCCACATCTTCTTACGCTAACAGTTTCATACGCAGGCAGCTAGCTACTAACAGCACTGACTTAGGCAATGAAGTGACATGCTTTTAAAGGCACAGTTCACCCCAAAATCAAACAAACTTAGATTTTAGGGCAACTTATTCCTATCTTAAGGTGTCCCAAATCAGGCTGTGCCATGTGGTTTCCTATTTAGAGAGATGTTTACCTGGTATACCAGGGGCCAAAACACAAGCAGTCCCTGCCTCGTAAGAGTCAATCCCATTAAGTTAAACCATGCTAGCTAGCGGTTCACTAATAGACTGATGCCAGGAATAAATGGTGTTAAACCAATTGGCTGGGCTAGAGTGGGGAGGTAGGGGGGAGCGAGAAGCAATATATCACAGGCCCAGTAGACCAGATCAGGGCTACTGTAGCTGGCCCGGCCATCAGTACTTGACAGTACATTGATTTGACAAAGAACACCTTTATAAAAGAGAATTAGATTCCCAAATTTAGCTCAGTAACAAGGCTCCAACACAACTTTGGATACTACTTTAGTATGAAGCTATGTATTTGCCATTCATACTGAATAGCCTAGTATACTAGTGTGAATATTATTTAGGACACAGTCAAGGATTGTGTGAGCACCTTACCAAGAGTAAGGCATTAGTGGGCCTGTATATCCACTAGTTAGTAGACACTGTGTGGTGTATGTTGGTGTGTGTGTTTGCTTCTGTTGAAAAACTTTCTAGAGCAGCGTGTGGTGTGTGTGACTGTGAACGCATACAGTGCCTTCGGAAAGTATTCAGACCCCTTGACTTTTTCAAAATGAATAAAACAAAAAAAATCCTCAACAATCTACACACAATACCCCATAATGACAAATCGGAGGAAGTCGTGACAGTACCCCCCCCTTGACGCGCAGCTCCAGCAGCGCGCCGACACTGGCCTCGGGGATGGCCAGGAGGACGCGGAGCAGAGCGAGCCGGATGGTAACGGTGGAAATCCCGCAATAGGGAGGGATCGAGGATATCCCTTACCGGAACCCAGCACCGCTCCTCCGGACCGTACCCCTCCCACTCCACAAGGTACCCGACGCCTCGAATCCAGGATGGAACGGAAGGAGTACGCCGGGGCCCCCTCGATGTCCAGAGGGGGTTGAGGAACCTCCCGCACCTCAGACTACTGGAGCGGACCAGCCACCACCGGCCTGAGGAGAGACACATGGAACGAGGGGTTAATACGGTAGTTTGGAGGGAGTAATAACCTATATGTAACCTCGTTTACCCTCCTCAGGACTTTGAACGGCCCCACAAACCGTGGGCTCAGCTTCCGGCAGGGCAGGCGGAGGGGCTGTTGAGACAGTACAGCGCCTATCCCTACCTCGGACGCATCCACCTCCACTACGAACGGTAGTGATGGATCGGGATGGGCCAGTACCGGGGCTGAGGTGAACAGAACCCTCAGGTTACTGAAGGCCCTGTCAGCCTCAGCAGACCAGCGGAGCCGGGACGGCTCACCCTTCAACAGAGATGTTACGGGAGCTGCGACCTTGCCAAAGCCCGGGATAAACCTCCGATAGTAGTTGGCAAAGCCAATAAAGCGCTGCACCTCCTTGACCGTGGTTGGAGTCAGCCAATGACGGATGGAGCATTCATCAAACCGTAAGTCATCACCGGGTATTCGTAATGCCCGTGGTGGTGCTGAATGCTGTCTTCCGCTCGTCCCCTTCTCGGACACACACCAGGTTGTACGCACTCCGGAGATCTAATTTTGTGAAGAAGCGCGCCCCATGCATTGACTCGATCACAGATGGAATGAGGGGTAGAGGATAACTATAACGTATTGTCCCCTTGTTCAGTGCTCGGTAATCAATGCAAGGGCGCAGACCTCCGTCTTTTTTCTTCACGAAAAGAAACTTGAGGAGGCGGGCGAAGTGGAGGGACGTATGAACCCCTGGCGCAGGGACTCGGAGACGTATGTCTCAGTTTCAGCCTGCGACAGGGGATACACATGACTCCTGGGAGGCACAGCGTCTACCCGGAGGTTTATCGCGCGATCCCCCGCCCGATGAGGTGGTAATTTAGTCGCCTGTGTTTTGGAAAACGTGAGGTAGTGTCTGGACTTTCCACCGTGGTTGCACCAACGGAAACATCAATACACCTACCCTGACACTCTCGCAACCACCCCGTAAGAACCCTCTGCGGCCATGAAAAGGTGGGATTGTGTAATGCTAACCAGGGAAGACCTAACACAACAGGGAAATCAGGTGACTCAATAATGTAAAAAAAGTGACTTGCTCTCTATGGGACTTGTGCGTAACCATAGTGACTGGTGCTGTAACTTCTCTAACGAACCCGGACCCTAATGGTCGACTGTCAAGTGCTCTGATGGGGAGTGGAATGGATAGGGGAACCAAGGTAATACCTAGAATATGTGCTAACGACTTGTCCATAAAGTTCCAAGCTGCGCCTGAATCGACCAGCGCCTTACACTGGGGAACTACTGGGTAATCAGGAAAGCGGATGTGTAGGGTACAGTGCGCAGCAGAGGGCTCTGAACGAGTGTGGGTGTTCGATACCTGGGGTGATGCGAGAGTGCACTGCCTGCCACCTCCAGACCCAAAAGAACGCTGACGACAGCGTACAGTTGAATGTCCTCTCGTGCCACAAGAGTGACAGTGGCGCTGTCGTCCTCCGCTCTCCCGGATCGCCGCACCATCCAGCTCCATCATCTCGTGATCCGGGTTGGGGGGGTGGGGTGGAACGGGCAGACCCCTTCCAGGATGTCCTCTAGAAGCCAGCAGGTTGTCCAACCGGATGGCCATGTCCACCAGTTGATTGAAGGACAACATGGTGTCCCGGCAGGCTAGCTCCCTTCGGACGTCCTCTCGCAGGCACACAGCCAAGACAACACAGGAGGGGCTTCCGGACAAGTCTCTGAATGTCCTTGAGTGGCCCAGCCAGAGCCCGGACTTGAACCCGATTAATCATCTCTGGAGAGACCTGAAAATAGCTGTGCAGCAACGCTCCCCATCCAACCTGACAGAGCTTGAGAGGATCTGCAGAGAAGAATGGGAGAAACTCCCCAAATACAGGTGTGCCAAGCTTGTAGCGTCATCCCCAAGAAGACTCGAGGCTGTAGTCGCTGCCAAAGGTGCTTCAACAAAGTACTGAGTAAAGGGTCTGAATACTTATGTAAATGTATTAGTTATTTGTATTTTGTATTATAACTTTGCAAAAATTTCTAAAAAACTTTTTTTGCTTTGTCATTATGGGGTATTGTGTGTAGATTGATGAGAGAAAAAAACACAATTTAAACAATTTTAGAATAAGGCTGTAACTTAACAAAATGTGGAAAAAGTCAAGGGGTCTGAATATTTTCCGAAGGCACTGTAGATAGATGCTGTGTGGACACTGTGTCTAGGCCTAGTTGCTGTGTGGACACTGTGTGTAGGCCTAGATGCTGTGTGGACACTGTGTGTAGGCCTAGATGCTGTGTGGACACTGTGTGCCTCCTATGAGTTATAGAAGTGATGTTGTAGTATCAGAGATACACCCTAATGTGTCTATCTCTCTCCACAGTCGCCATGGCTGTTCCTCCTGCATACTCAGACCTGGGAAAAGCCGCCAAAGACATCTTCGGCAAGGGCTATGGTGAGTCATCAAATCACCCCCTCCACCACCACACACAAGGAGAAAGGGAGGAGACACCTGCATATTTCATGTGTCTGTACGCTCTTAGGATCACTCAACCTCTCTCTCTCGCTCTCTCTCTCCCCCTGAGACCATAAACCTCAGCTGGTCATCAAGGACTCTGTGACCTCTAGCCTTTGATTTACAACTGTAAGGGGATGGGGGCTGGGACTCAATGTGTGTGTGTTTAGACGTGGTTCATCCTCATTCATAATGAGTCAAACAGTGCCTCTTGGCATCTTTGTATCTGACCATTAGATCAACTTTTCTGCAAATGTTCTTGTTTCACAACTGTGAAGCTTGAAAGCTTGGATGACCCTCATTGAAAACAATCATGTAAATGATTGTATATGCCATTTAGCAGATGCTTTTATCCAAAGTGACTCCATTCCTGGTGTTGTAAGTGCCATGCTCTTCCAACTGAGCCATACAGGACCATGAGTTTTCTCTTCCCCCTCTTCATTCTCCTCTCTCTCTTTTTCCCTCTAGGCTTTGGAATCGTGAAACTGGACCTAAAGACCAAGGCCCAGAGTGGAGTTGTAAGTACAACGTCTCGCTCCCTCTTTCACTGTCATTTGTTGAATCCCTCCTCTTTTTTATACATTTATTTACATATCACCCTTTATTTTAGGACGGTAACCTGGCTGTAAAGGCCTTGTTGCAAAAGGAGGGATATCATGTTTTTCAAAGCATTCATCACAGATGTGTAACATTTACATTTAGGCTTCACTCGATCCGAGTGACCCATTCATTTGTGTGTGTGTGTGTGTGTGTGTGTGTGCGTATAGTCTGGCCCTATAAGCCTCATGTCTAACACCTCAGGGCCTCAGGGCTGAGCAGGACAGTCAAAATGGCTGACTCACTGTCTGCTGGTGGTGTATGTGTGTGTGTCTGCCAGAGAGTCTGACAGACTGTTTAACTCACAGAGTCAGCTCGGTACATCACTGTCTATCTGACTAGAATCTCCTTCTACGTTAGAACAAAATGGATCCCGCTCATAGCATTGCTGTTCCCTGAAATGGTCAGTTATCCGCTCTTAAAAGTGTTAGGGGCAGCAATACTGTGTGCAGGATTATTTAGGGGTGTGTGTGTGTCATTATCTTCATCTAATTTTCGCCTGTACACATTGGATATGTATTTTACCCGTTTGGATAACTAATCTAACGCTCCCTCTGACTAAATTCAATCACCAAGACTTCATGAAATACACTTTACTTGGACTTCTCAGAAAACTCAACCGTATCTTGTAAAATGAGAGGTTGTACAGCTCTGATTCACAGTTCAAACACATTGGTGCAGTGTTGGTGTCTCTGGCATACAGTATGTACATGGGAATCTTCTCTTCTTTTCTGAAAGAGTGGAAAAGTGATTGAGTGTGAATACCTGTGTGTTTCTGACTGAACTCTCTGCCTCTCTCTTCCTTTGCCTTTTTTCTGCTTCCTCTCTGGACTTCATTGTCAGATGGTAAGGGTGTGTGTGGGTGTGTGTGTGTGTGTGTGTGTGTGTGTGTGTGTGTGTGTGTGTGTGTGTGTTTGTGTGGAGCAGGCTTTTGCTCCCTGCAGGCTTTTTTGCAGCAGTGTCCCAGCTGATTGATTGATACCATTCCCCCTACACTGCTAAAGCTATAACGACATTAACTCCTATCCCTAGACACACACACCTTTAGACTGGTCTAACTGGCCAGGTTACTGGTCTATAGGTTACTAGTTATTGGTCTGCCAGTGACTAGATGACTGGCTTGACCAGCAAACAGGGTCTCTTCCCTCAGCTCACAGCATTCCCCTAGCATCCTTTCCCCACTCACCTCTCCATGGATTCCCTCAGTGTCTAACACAGTGGTTATCAACACTAGATTTGGTTCCAGCTCAGCACTAACACACCTGATTCAACTACTAAAGGTCTAGAGGATTAGTTGATTAGTTAAAGCAGGTGTGCTGGGTGGAACAAAAGCCTGCACACTGTCCATGACCAATGTCAGTGATCACTGTTTAAGGGTATCTACCATTACTCAAAATAGTAGCTACTGACTATAACCAGTCATGCAAACCTGAGAGGAATTGCTTGGCAGAGATGTGGAAGGGGTGCTTATCTCTTTATTTCTCTCTCTCTCTCTCTCTTCAGTGAGGAGTGTGCTAAGCTCTCGTTAAGACTACTCTTCTGTATCAGTTCCCCTTCTCTTTTCTATTTTCTCTCCTTTGCTCCAGTTTCTTCTGCTGTGCTCTCTTACTTTTCTGCTATTAACCATCCCTCATTTCCCCTCTCCTTCTCCAACATCGCTCACTCCTCTCGCTCCCTCCTCTCTCCTTCTCTTTCTCAGGAGTTTACAACCTCAGGCTCCAGTAACACAGACACAGGGAAGGCAACAGGTAACATGGAGACCAAGTACAAGGTGAAGAAGCTGGGCCTGAGCTTCAACCAGAAATGGAACACAGACAACACCCTGACCACAGAGGTCTCCATGGAGGACCAGGTGAGTTTGAAACCAGTTCAGCCTAAAACCAGGTTACACCACACTTAACCATCTCCTGACACCACTTGATATTGACTCATTAAATGAAAACTGGTATGTATACGCAACGTTTGAAAGTCAGTACTATTATTAGCCATATTGTTCATATTGTTTTGTGTCTGCTGTTCAACAATATGTGATATACCTCCTCTATCCTGTGTGTCTGTAGCTGGCTAAGGGCTTGAAGCTGGCCCTGGACACGTCGTTTGTGCCCAACACTGGGTAAGCTGATCACTCACTGATCAATCTTTACCTCCCTCCCTAATCTTTAGTAGTCCACATGAACATGAAGGATTTTGAAATAATCGCAGCACCAGTATAGACGTAAACCGGTCACTGGAGCTGTTGTTTTCTATTGTCAAATTGGCCCATAATGTCACATGAAGCCTGACACCCTCTCTACTTTTATCTGGCCCCTTCCTCTCTGTCTGCAGTAAGACGAGTGCCAAGCTGAAGACTGGCTACAAGCGCGACTTCATCAACTTGGGCTGTGACCTTGACTTTGACATGGCCGGCCCTACGGTTCACGCAGCTGCTGTGCTGGGCTACGAGGGCTGGCTGGCCGGGTACCAGATGGCTTTCGACACAGCCAAGTCTAAACTGTCCCAGAACAACTTTGCCCTGGGATACAAGGCTGGGGACTTCCAGCTCCATACCAACGTGTGAGTACCACTACTCCTAACCCTAACCTTAATTTCTACCCCTAACCACTACCCCTGACCCTAACTACTACCCCCAACCCTGACTCTAACCTAACCACTGACCAGCAGAGGTTGCTTTGTGTTTGCGCTAAGTTGCTTTCTCCATGAATTTCATTATTTCCATTACTTCTGTGTTACATTTGCCAAGTGGCCAGTCATGATCCACCAGAAGTTGATTTAAAAGCTATGTAGCACCGTACTGAATAAGCCCATGGTGTTTTGTCCTCTCAGTAACGACGGTACAGAGTTCGGCGGCTCCATCTACCATAAGGTGAACTGCCACCTGGAAACAGCCATCAACCTGGCCTGGACGGCCGGCAGCAATAACACACGCTTCGGCATCGGAGCCAAATACCAGCTGGACAAGGACGCTTCGCTGTCTGTGAGTACCACAACCACACATACATAACCACACAGAACCACACACCTGTCCATATTGCCAGGACTAGAACCACACAACCAGCCAAATGCGTGCTTGTATCACCTCTGTGTCGGTCTGTCTCCCCCTGCAGGCCAAAGTCAACAACGCCAGTCTAATTGGAGTCGGCTACACACAGGCCCTCCGGCCAGGTAACTCAAATCACCTTAACCTTAACCTGTATCTACCAGATGCCGAGCTACATCTGTCTTTATCTACAAACCTTGACTATTAGTACCAGAGGAGGGGTAGAAGAAACTAATAGGTGATTTCATTATTACTGAAACAGGATACAAGTGGAAAATATAAAGATCCAGTCCAGTTAAAAAATTGGAGGCCCCTTACACTTCAGTGTTGTGATGCAAAAATTCTAGCAAAATGTATAGCGCATAGAAATATAAAGGTATTGTCGGACATTATTCATTCTAATCAGACAGGTTTTTTACATGGGCGATACAGTGAGGGAATTAAGTATTTGATCCCCTGCTGATTTTGTACGTTTGCCCACTGACAAAGACATGATCAGTCTATAATTTGAATGGTAGGTTTTATTTGAACAGTGAGAGACAGAATAACAACCAAAAAATCCAGAAAAACGCATGTCAAAAATGTTATAAATGTATTTGCATTTTAATTAGGGAAATAAGTATTTGACCCCTCTGCAAAACATGACTTAGTACTTGGTGGCAAAACCCTTGTTGGCAATCACAGAGGTCAGACGTTTCTTGTAGTTGGCCACCAGGTTTGCACACATCTCAGGAGGGATTTTGTCCCACCCTCTTTGCAGATCTTCTCCAAGTCATTAAGGTTTCGAGGCTGACGTTTGGCAACTCGAACCTTCAGCTCCCTCCACAGATTTTCTATGGGATTAACGTCTGGGGACTGGCTAGGCCACTCCAGGACCTTAATGTGCTTCTTCTTGAGCCACTCCTTTGTTGCCTTGGCCATGTGTTTTGGGTCATTGTCATGCTGGAATACCCATCCACGACCCATTTTCAATGCCCTGGCTGAGGGAAGGAGGTTCTCACCCAAGATTTGACGGTACATGGCCCCGTCCATCGTCCCTTTGATGCGGTGAAGTTGTCCTGTCCCCTTAGCAGAAAAACACCCCCAAAGCATAATGTTTCCACCTCCATGTTTGACGGTGGGGATAGTGTTCTTGGGGTCATAGGCATCATTCCTCCTCCTCCAAACACGGCGAGTTGAGTTGATGCCAAAGAGCTTGATTTTGGTCTCATCTGACCACCACACTTTCACCCAGTTCTCCTCTGAATCATTCAGATGTTCATTGGCAAACTTCAGACGGGCCTGTATATGTGCTTTCTTGAGCAGGGGGACCTTGCGGGCACTGCAGGATTTCAGTCCTTCACGGCGTAGTGTGTTACCAATTGTTATCTTGGTGACTATGGCCCCAGCTGCCTTGAGATCATTGACAAGATCCTCCCGTGTAGTTCTGGGCTGATTCCTCACCGTTCTCATGATCATTGCAACTCCACGAGGTGAGATCTTGCATGGAGCTCCAGGCCGAGGGAGATTGACAGTTATTTTGTGTTTATTCCATTTGCGAATAATCGCACCAACTGTTGTCACCTTCTCACCAACTGCTTGGCGATGGTCTTGTAGCCCATTCCAGCCTTGTGTAGGTCTACAATCTTGTCCCTGACATCCTTGGAGAGCTCTTTGGTCTTGACTATGGTGGAGAGTTTGGAATCTGATTGATTGATTGCTTCTGTGGACAGGTGTCTTTTATACAGGTAACAAGCTGAGATTAGGAGCAATCCCTTTAAGAGTGTGCTCCTAATCTCAGCTCGTTACCTGTATAAAAGACACCTGGGAGCCAGAAATCTTTCTGATTGAGAGGGGGTCAAATACTTATTTCCCTCATTAAAATGCAAATCAATTTATAACATTTTTGACATGCGTTCTTCTGGATTTTTTTGTTGTTATTCTGTCTCTCAGTGTTCAAATAAAACTACCATTAAAATGATAGACTGATCATTTCTTTGTCAGTGGGCAAACGTACAAAATCAGCAGGGGATCAAATACTTTTTTCCCACACTGTACATTGGAGATAATATAAGGCAAGTACTGGAAACAATAGAACACTATGAAAAATCTGGGAAACCAGGCCTGCTATTCATAGCAGACTTCGAAAAGGCATTTGATAAAGTACGACTGGGGTTTATATATAAATGCCTGGAGCATTTACATTTTGGAGAATCTCTTATAAAATGGGTCAAAATCATGTATAGTAACCCTAGGTGTAAAATAGTAAATAATGGCTATATCTCAGAAAATGTAAAACTGTCAAGAGGAGTGAAACAAGGTTGTCCACTATCGGCATATCTATTTATTATGGCCATCGAGATGTTAGCTATTAAAATCAGATCCAACAATAATATCAAGGGATTAGAAATCCAGGGCTTAAAAACAAAGGTGTCATTGTACGCTGATGATTCATGTTTTCTTTTAAATCCACAACTTGATTCCCTCCACAGCCTCATGGAGGATCTATATACATTTTCTAACCTCTCTGGATTACAACCAAATTACTATATTATGTATTGGATCACTAAAAAATACAATTTTTACATTACCATGTAGTTTACCAATAAAATGGTCTGATGGTTATGTGGATATACTCGGAATACATATCCCAAATGAAATAAATGATCTCACTCCAATACATTTTAATAGAAATTTAGCAAAAATAGATAAGATCTTGCTACCATGGAAAGGTAAATACCTGTCAATTTGTGGAAAAATCACACTGATTAACTCTTTAGTATTATCCCAGTTTACCTATTTGCTTATGGTCTTGCCTATGCCTAGCGAACAGTTTTTTAAAATTATATGAGAAAAAAAATATTCTATTTTATTTGGAACGGCAAGCCAGACAAAATTAAACGGGCCTATTTATATAATGAATATGAATTAGGAGGACAGAAATGATTAAATATTAAAGCATTAGACCTATCACTAAAAGCTTCAGTCATACAAAAATTATACTTAAATCTGAACTGGTTCTCTAGCAAACTAGTAAGATTGTCTCACCCAATGTGCAAGAAGGGATTTTTTCCCTTTATTCAGATTACAACCCCTCACTTTCAGGTATTTGAAAAGGAAATAATCTCCCAAATATCACTATTTATAAAACAAGCCATAGAAAGTTGGATGCAATTTCAATTGAATCCTCCAGAAATTACAGAACAAATATTGCAACAAATATTGTGGTTAAACTCAAATATACTAATTGATAAAAAAAACATTATTTTTTTAGAAAATGTTTAAAAAAGGTATAATCTTCGAAAATGATATTATCAGTAGGAATGGTGGAGTTATGTCGCACATGCAGCTAACAAAAACATATGGAAATGTCTGCTCTACCCAAAACTACAACCAAATAATTGCAGCATTACCGCAAAAATGGAAGAGGAAAGTGGAAGAGGGAAAAAGTAAGGAACTTGTCTGTCGGCCTTGCATTAAAGAACATAATTGGTTAAAGAAAATTGTGATAAATAAAAAAGTTTACCAGAAGATTGACAGCCGTCCCATATAGATTGCAAAATAGTTGGGAAGAGATTTTTGACGTACCGATTCCATGGCATAGTGTTTAAGAACTGATACGCAAAATGACGCCGGATTCAAAACTTAGAATTTTTCAATTTAAATTATTATATCAAATTCTTGCTACCAATGGAATGTTATTTGTATGGGGATACAATCTTCCCAGCTCTGCAGATTTGGCTGTGAAGAGACAGAATCATTAGATCATTTGTTTTGGTACTGTCCATTTGTAGCTTGTTTCTGGACACAGGTCCAGGAATGGCTGAATGATTGCAATATTTGCATGGAGCTGACCCTGCAGATAGCACTACTGGGTGATCTGAAAAGTCATAGTCAATCAATCAATAATATAATAATACTTTTAGCAAAGATGTTTATTTTCAATTCACAAACTGTAGAAACAATGAGAATAGAAAGGTTCAGAACTTTTGTAAAACATCACAGTACAGTTGAAAAATATATGGCAAATAGAAATCCAATATGGATGGTGTTAAGAGATAGATGGGAGGTGTTGAATGGAGCTGAAGGATGGGACTAATAACAACAACTAATAACAACAAGATAACTAGTGTAAAACATGATGTGTCCATAATAAGTATATAGGTTATATATTGTGAGCTTTTGTGAAAGAGCACAGTTAGAAAGATATGGCATATAGAAGCATACCAGATGGACATCATGAAAATGATCGGAGGAAGTTCAGGAGTAAAAACAAACAAAATATAATTAGTGACTGTGTCCATAAAATGTATATAGTATGTATAAGCATGAACGACAGCGTGTTCCAGTTCCCGCCAATATACAGCAACTTCGCACAGCCATTGAAGAGGAGTGGGACAACATTCCACAGGCCACAATCAACAGCCTGATCAACTCTGTGCATTTTACATTTACATTTTAATCATTTAGCAGACACTCTTATCCAGAGCGACTTACAGTTTTTTAGTGAGTGCATACATTTTCATACTGGCCCCCCATGGAAATCGAACCCACAACCCTGGCGTTGCAAACGCCATGCTCTACCAACTGAGCTACACTGGACTGGAGATGTGTCACGCTGCATGAAGCAAATGATGGTCACACCAGATACTAATTGGTTTTCTGATCCACGTCCCTACTTTATTTTAAAGATACAGTTGAAGTTTGAAGTTTACATACACTTAGGTTGGAGTCATTAAAACTCGTTTTTCAACCACTCCACAAATTTCTTGTTAACAAACTATAGTTTTGGCAAGTCGGATAGGACATCTACTTTGTGCATGACACAAGTAATTTTTCCAACAATTGTTTACAGAAAGACTATTGCACTTATAATTCACTGTATCACAATTCCAGTGGGTCAGAAGTTTACATACACTAAGTTGACTGTGCCTTTAAACAGCTTGGAAAATTCCAGAAAATGATGTCATGGCTTTAGAAGCTTCTGATAGGCTAATTGACATAATTTGAGTCAATTGGAGGTGTACCTGTGGATGAATTTCAAGGCCTACCTTCAAACGCAGTGCCTCTTTGCTTGACATCATGGGGAAATCAAAATAAATCAGCCAAGACCTCAGAAAAAAATTGTAGACCTCCACAAGTCTGGTTCATCCTTGGGAGCAATTTTCAAACGGCTGAAGGTACCACGTTTATCTGTTCAAACAATAGTACGCAAGTATAAACACCATGGGACCACGCAGCCGTCATACCACTCAGGAAGGAGACGCGTTCTGTCACCTAGAGATGAACGTACTTTGGTGCGAAAAGTGCAAATCAATCCCAGAACAACAGCAAAGGACCCTGTGAAGAAGCTGGAGGAAACAGGTACAAAAGTATCTATATCCACAGTAAAACGAGTCCTATATCGACATAACCTGAAAGGCCGCTCAGCAAGGAAGAAGCCACTGCTCCAAAACCGCCATAAAAAAGCCAGACTACGGTTTGCAACTGCACATGGGGACAAAGATCGTATTTTTCTCTGCTCTGATTAAACAAAAATAGAACTGTTTGGCCATAATGACCATTGTTATGTTTGGAGGAAAGGGGGGGGGGGGGGGGGGGGCTTGCAATCCAAAGAACACCATCCCAACCGTGAAGCACGGGGGTGGCAGCATCATGCTGTGGGGGTGCTTTGCTGCAAGAGGGACTGGTGCACTTCACAAAATAGATGGCATCATGAGGAAGGAAAACTATGTGGATATATTGAAGCAACATCTCAAGACATCAGTCAGGAAGTTAAAGCTTGGTCGCAAATGGGTCTTCCAAATGGACAATGACCACAAGCATACTTCCAAAGTTGTGGCAAAATGGCTCAAGGACAACAAAGTCAAGGTATTGGAGTGGCCATCACAAAGCCCTGACCTCAATCCTATAGAACATTTGTGGGCAGAACTGAAAAAGCATGTGCGAGCAAGGAGGCCTACAAACCTGACTCAGTTACACCAGCTCTGTCAGGAGGAATGGGCCAAAATTCACCCAAATTATTGTGGGAAGCTTGTGGAAGGCTACCCGAAACGTTTGACCTAAGTTAAACAATTTAAAGGCAATGCTACCAAATACTAATTGAGTGTATGTAAACTTCTGACCCACTGGGAATGTGATGAAATAAATAAAAGCTGAAATAAATCATTCTCTCTACTATTATTCTGACATTTCACATTCTTAAAATAAAGTGGTGATCCTAACTTCCCTAAGACAGGGATTTTTTTTACTAGGATTAAATGTCAGGAATTGTGAAAATCTGAGTTTAAATGTATTTGGCTAAGGTGTATGTGATCAACAGATGCATATCTGTATTCCCAGTCATGTGATTTGGGCCTAATGAATTTATTTCAATTGACTGATTTCCTTATATGAACTGTAACTTAGTAAAATCTTTGAAATTGCATGTTGCGTTTATATTTTTGTTCAGTATAAATGAAAGGAGCAGTACTTTCTGTGTTAAGACTAATGTCTCTCTCTCTCTCTAGGAGTGAAGCTGACTCTCTCAGCTCTGATCAATGGGAAGAACTTCAATGCAGGCGGTCACAAGGTTGGCATGGGCTTTGAGCTGGAGGCATAAGGATGGAGGGAAGAGGAGATGGGAGAAGAGAAGGAAAAGAGCCTGGATCTGACAAAACCTTAATGACACCTGACCTGTAGGCCGTCATTGTAAATAAGAATTTTACTTGCCTAGTTAAATAAAGGTATAACATAAATAATAATAATTTTAAAAAATGACACCTGACACATCTCCACCTCTGTATGCCACACACACACACACACACCTCCCAAGTCTTTTGGCCATAACCCTACAGCCCTTAGCAGCTTCTGAGACCTCCAGTACTGTAATGAAATGGACAGACTGTTGAGAACCCAGTTGTTTTTTTGGTTCACCATCTCTCTGTATCATCTCCTTAGCAATACCCCTACTTAAACAAACATTACAAACCCTATTCACCAGATAGTATACTACTTATGACTACTTCATATAGGGCTCTGGTCCAAAGTGGTGTAATATATGGAGAATATGCTCTCAAGTCAACCTTTTGTTCCACTTCCTCCCCATAAGCAGACATATCTCATTTTCTTTCCTTTTTAGTAGGATTTGATTGTGTGGTATAATTTCACTTTGCCTGAGATCATGTATTTCATTTACTTTTGACTTGAATGAGATTGACAGTAGACTTTGTGTATGTGTGGTACATTCTATTGAGTCTATCAAAGCCAGTAGGGAGTTGTTTTGAAGGAACAACTTATTTGTACATTTCATGAAGTTCCCTTGTCCCAGACATAGACCTTTACAGGCCTTTCTGTGGGTGGATGACCACTTTCAGTGACACATACACAAGGACACAATGACACGAGCGTACTGCAATAAAATGGGCGGCTTAGAACTCTATTAAAAATAGGCGACTGGTTGATTTTCTTTTTCCAAATCAGGGAAAATATCTGCAGTACAGAGAACTTGAAGATTCCACCTTGACAGTAAGATTTGTTGACTGAGTTGTGTTCTCATTCTATAACATAAAGCAATGTATCAATGGCTGAACGTTCTGCCTAATGTCCCACCATTGGCTCAATGTCCCTTGTTAGCTCTGTTTTGACCATTTCAACTCTCTGTGTGTTTCTTTTATTGGCAAACTAATACCCCAAACATTTCTCCATTTGAACTCTCTTCTTGTGGTTCCGAGTTTTGAGAAGACATAGAGGCATGTGTGGATATTTTCCATACCTCTTTGTCATGTTTCGTTTTTGTCTTTTCATCTTTGAACTCTCTACCACATTATGTAATGTTGTGTCTGTGCTGTGTTTGGAAGAGGGAAGGTTGGTGATAATTGAAACCTCAAACTGACTTTAAGGAATTTATGGAATAAAGAAGAATGTCAAACACTTTGAGTGTCCTGTATTCAAAATTAATACATATCTTTGTTTAAAATCATGGTAGTAATGTCATGTCACCATTATATGTCGAGCAGTCTTATTGCTCTGTGGTGGTTGAAGTTCAATTCAACCAGATTCACGTACTTACACATAATAATACACCACAGTTAAATCAAGTAAAATACAGCAAAATAAAAAAAACAATTATTATACTGCAAGAAATGTTGAAACATCAATTATTTAAAAACTTTAACAATTAAAATTAAGTATATACACAAAAACAGAGGATATCCTGCATCAGCCTTAGTTACGTACATACAGTGGGGGAAAAAAGTATTTAGTCAGCCACCAATTGTGCAAGTTCTCCCACTTAAAAAGATGAGAGAGGCCTGTAATTTTCATCATAGGTACACGTCAACTATGACAGACAAATTGAGAAATGTTTTCTCCAGAAAATCACATTGTAGGATTTTTTATGAATTTATATGCAAATTATGGTGGAAAATAAGTATTTGGTCACCTACAAACAAGCAAGATTTCTGGCTCTCACAGACCTGTAACTTCTTCTTTAAGAGGCTCCTCTGTTCTCCACTCGTTACCTGTATTAATGGCACCTGTTTGAACTTGTTATCAGTATAAAAGACACCTGTCCACAACCTCAAACAGTCACACTCCAAACTCCACTATGGCCAAGACCAAAGAGCTGTCAAAGGACACCAGAAACAAAATTGTAGACCTGCACCAGGCTGGGAAGACTGAATCTGCAATAGGTAAGCAGCTTGGTTTGAAGAAATCAACTGTGGGAGCAATTATTAGGAAATGGAAGACATACAAGACCATTGATAATCTCCCTCGATCTGGGGCTCCACGCAAGATCTCACCCTGTGGGGTCAAAATGATCACAAGAACGGTGAGCAAAAATCCCAGCTGGGACCAAAGTAACAAAGCCTACCATCAGTAACACACTACGCCGCCAGGGACTCAAATCCTGCAGTGCGAGACGTCCAGGCCCGTCTGACGTTTGCTAGAGTGCATTTGGATGATCCAGAAGAGGATTGGGAGAATGTCATATGGTCAGATGAAACCAAAATATAACTTTTTGGTAAAAACTCAACTCGTCGTGTTTGGAGGACAGTTGCATCTGCTGAGTTGCATCCAAAGAACACCATACCTACTGTGAAGCATGGGGGTGTAAACATCATGCTTTGGGCCTGTTTTTCTGCAAAGGGACCAGGACGACTGATCCGTGTAAAGGAAAGAATGAATGGGGCCATGTATCGTGAGATTTTGAGTGAAAACCTCCTTCCATCAGCAAGGGCATTGAAGATGAAACGTGGCTGGGTCTTTCAGCATGACAATGATCCCAAACACACCACCCGGGCAACGATGGAGTGGCTTCGTAAGAAGCATTTCAAGGTCCTGGAGTGGCCTAGCCAGTCTCCAGATCTCAACCCCATAGAAAATCTTTGGAGGGAGTTGAAAGTCTGTGTTGCCCAGCGACAGCCCCAAAACATCACTGCTCTAGAGGAGATTTGCATGGAGGAATGGGCCAAAATACCAGCAACAGTGTGTGAAAACCTTGTGAAGACTTACAGAAAACATTTGACCTGTGTCATTGCCAACAAAGGGTATATAACAAAGTATTGAGAAACTTTTGTTATTGACCAAATACTTATTTTCCACCATAATTTGCAAATAAATTCATTAAAAATCCTACAATGTGATTTTCTGGATTTTATTTTCTCATTTTGTCTGTCATAGTTGACGTGTACCTATGATGAAAATTACAGGCCTCTCTCATCTTTTTAAGTGGGAGAACTTGCACAATTGGTGGCTGACTAAATACTTTTTTTCCCCACTGTAGAGATCCAGCATAAGGCATTATAAAATGTACAGTTTCTAAAACGTTTTCCCCCAAAAGCCCGGTTCTACTAACTGTTACAGTATGCAGGGTTCTCCCCAGGATTTTTTAACAAGGTGGTGCTGCCGAGTACAGCTGGGGGAGGCCCGGAGGGGGGCAGTGCCAACCTTGGACTCAAAGATTTTTGCGTTTTTTAACACCTGTAACTGCCATTTCCTGCAATCTAGAGCAAAAATGTGCCCTATATGATAACAAATAAAGTACAAAATATTTATGTTTTTACATAGTGGCACAGCCAGTCCATAAGGGGGGCGCAGCGCCTCTTTTAAATTTTTTGGGGAGAACCCTGAGTATGGTAACTGAATATACAAGCTACAGCTAAAACCTTGGTCAGAGAATATTTTGTGGCAAGCATAAAAAAACATTTGAAAGATTAGGAATCATCACCAGGGTCCAGACCAGACTTTTTTAGAACCAGTACCACCAGGACTTTAGTGAGGAGGACAACCAGTGAGATTACTGGTTTTGATTTTGAAATACAGCTATGCCAGTGGTCAACATCCATTTTCCTCATTCAAACCTACACCCTTTAGAGCAGGATTAGATGACTCCAATACACCAGGATATAGATTACAGCGGTATTGCGCATGTTAATGTAGGCACCCCAATGAGCCTGGAAAATATCAATGTTGGCTCAATCCATTATTTTTGGGCCACCCCCAAGAGTCAATGTCAAATTGTGCGATGCACTCTGTTGCAGCAAGTCTTCCCTACCACACAGCAGCAGCAGAGGACCACAACAGGGGGTCTGGAATGGGACGGCTCTTCTGTTTGACATCAGCTTGAGACAGAATCGTCCCTTAACCTCAGGTCTAGGATCAGATTACTCTAACTCCAATCCTTAACATGACAATTATGGGGATGACATCATATCTGACCCTGTATCAGTAGCTAGGGGAAACTCCTGCCTCCTCCGAGGGAACCAGTAGAATCAGGAAAGATCAGAGGAAAGGTCCTGTCTTTCACTCAGCCACGTCCACTCTCTCAGCAACTAGGAGACAAAGACAGCCAGAGAGGGTTGTATGTTTTTACCACCCTGTGTGTGTGTGTGTGTGTGTTTGTGAGAGAGAGTGTGTGTGTGTGTGTGTGTGTGTGTGTGTAAGTGTACAGTGGGGAAAAAAAGTATTTAGTCAGCCACCAATTGTGCAAGTTCTCCCACTTAAAAAGATGAGAGAGGCCTGTAATTTTCCTCATAGGTACACGTCAACTATGACAGACAAAATGAGAAAAAGATTTCCAGAAAATCACATTGTAGGATTTTTTATGAATTTATTTGCAAATTATGGTGGAAAATAAGTATTTGGTCAATAACAAACGTTTCTCAATACTTTGTTATATACCCTTTGTTGGCAATGACACAGGTCAAACGTTTTCTGTAAGTCTTCACAAGGTTTTCACACACTGTTGCTGGTATTTTGGCCCATTCCTCCATGCAGATCTCCTCTAGAGCAGTGATGTTTTGGGGCTGTCGCTGGGCAACACGGACTTTCAACTCCCTCCAAAGATTTTCTATGGGGTTGAGATCTGGAGACTGGCTAGGCCACTCCAGGACCTTGAAATGCTTCTTACGAAGCCACTCCTTCGTTGCCCGGGCGGTGTGTTTGGGATCATTGTCATGCTGAAAGACCCAGCCACGTTTCATCTTCAATGCCCTTGCTGATGGAAGGAGGTTTTCACTCAAAATCTCACGATACATGGCCCCACTCATTCTTTCCTTTACACGGATCAGTCGTCCTGGTCCCTTTGCAGAAAAACAGCCCCAAAGCATGATGTTTCCACCCCCATGCTTCACAGTAGGTATGGTGTTCTTTGGATGCAACTCAGCATTCTTTGTCCTCCAAACACGACGAGTTGAGTTTTTACCAAAAAGTTATATTTTGGTTTCATCTGACCATATGACATTCTCCCAATCCTCTTCTGGATCATCCAAATGCACTCTAGCAAACTTCAGACGGGCCTGGACATGTACTGGCTTAAGCAGGGGGACACGTCTGGCACTGCAGGATTTGAGTCCCTGGCGGCGTAGTGTGTTACTGATGGTAGGCTTTGTTACTTTGGTCCCAGCTCTCTGCAGGTCATTCACTAGGTCCCCCCGTGTGGTTCTGGGATTTTTGCTCACCGTTCTTGTGATCATTTTGACCCCACGGGGTGAGATCTTGCGTGGAGCCCCAGATCGAGGGAGATTATCAGTGGTCTTGTATGTCTTCCATTTCCTAATAATTGCTCCCACAGTTGATTTCTTCAAACCAAGCTGCTTACCTATTGCAGATTCAGTCTTCCCAGCCTGGTGCAGGTCTACAATTTTGTTTCTGGTATCCTTTGACAGCTCTTTGGTCTTGGCCATAGTGGAGTTTGGAGTGTGACTGTTTGAGGTTGTGGACAGGTGTCTTTTATACTGATAACAAGTTCAAACAGGTGCCATTGATACAGGTAACGAGTGGAGGACAGAGGAGCCTCTTAAAGAAGAAGTTACAGGTCTGTGAGAGCCAGAAATCTTGCTTGTTTGTAGGTGACCAAATACTTATTTTCCACCATAATTTGCAAATAAATTCATTAAAAATCCTACAATGTGATTTTCTGGATTTTGTTTTCTCAAATTGTCTGTCATAGGTGACGTGTACCTATGATGAAAATTACAGGCCTCTCATCTTTTTAAGTGGGAGAACTTGCACAATTGGTGGCTGACTAAATACTTTTTTTCCCCACTGTATGTGTGTGTACCTGCATATCGCTCTCCGACTCCTGGATGGTCTCCTGTAGCAGGCTCTGTAGTCGACTCTCAAACGTCCTGCTCTCCTCGATCACCAATAGAGACTCATCCCTGAAACACACACACACATGCAAGCAGTCTCAGACACACTTCAAATACACACAAAACACCAACTCACTACAGAGAAGAGCACACACCATCATAAACACATTCATCCATCTATCTATCTATCTATCTATCTATCTATCTATCTATCTATCTATCTATCTATCTATCTATCTATCTATCTATCTATCTATCTATCTATCTATCTATCTATCTATCTATCTATCTATCTATCTGTCTGTCTGTCTGTCTGTCTGTCTGTGTCCAGCCGTCTGTCCACCTGAAGGAGGTGTGTGTGGTTGTGTGTGTGTATGTGTGGGTGTACTCACAGCTGCTGTAGGCTGGGTCTGGGGGTCAGTAGAGGGGGAACGGAGGAGGAAGAACGTCCCGCATCCACAGGACTCCCACTCACCGGGCTGCGCACCTTACTCTGAATAACAACGAAGGATACACACTGATCAGGAGTGTGTGTGTGTATGTGTGTGTGTGTCCGTGTTTCTGTATGTATTTGTGTGTGCACTTACACAGGCTACTTTAAGCAGGTTCCATAGTTCCTTTTGTCGTCTCTCCTGTAGATTCATCAGGACCTGTTCACTCTCAGCCATCCTCTGTACCACGCCCTCTACACGGGGTAGCAGCTCCAGCACACGCTGACGACACACCACTGTTTTACTGCAACACAAACACACGTCTTACTACAGGGAGAGAGTGAAAAAACGCAAATGTATGTATATGTAACGGCACCTGAGGTGTGTGTAGACTAGTGTGTGTGTGTGTGTGTGTGTGTGTGTGTGAGTGTGTGTGTGTGTGTGTGTGTGTGAGTGTGTGTGAGTGTGTGCATGGACACCTGAGGTGTGTGTAGACTAGTGTGTGTGTGTGTGTGTGTGTGTGTGTGTGTGTGTGTGTGTGTGTGTGTGTGTGTGTGTGTGTGTGTGTGTGTGAGTGTGCATGGACACCTGAGGTGTGTGTAGACTAGTGTGTGTGTGTGTGTGTGTGTGTGAGTGTGTGAGTGTGAGTGTGTGTGCATGGACACCTGAGGTGTGTGTAGAAGTCTTTGAGTTTCCTCTCGTAGAACTGGACTGCCTGGACCACCAGACGCACTACCTCCTGACTGTCCCCCCCACACCTCTGGTCTGGAGAGAGGGAGGGAAGAGAGAGAGAGCGGGAGAAGGGAGAGAGGAAGTGAGAGAGGAAGTTTTCTAGTCTATAATGACATGTTCTCAGAATCACAAGTAGACAGCAGAAGTCTATACTGTGATGGTAAATCGTCACGAATGGAAAAGTGGTAAACCAACCTCTGGGTTTCTCTCTCAGCTTACGGAACAACTCCATGGCCTTCCCCTCACTGTAGCCGAACGAGGAGAGGAGAAAATAGAAGGAACAGTTCAAGTTTTAGCTCACTAAAGGCCAGGGATCAGCTGACAGGGTAAACTGCTTAGATGCATTTATAGATCTTGTTCTGGATTAAAGACTGGTCTGTTGAGATGTTTCTGTCTGTCTCTTACAGTGTGTCCAGGGCCTCTCCACTCCTCCACGGTTGTCTCTGGAGGTCCACGATGTCTGTCTGGAGGAGCATCATCTCCTCTTCCAGCTCTGTCACCCTCTCTGCCTGCAACACAAACAAACATATTTACTTACACACACACACACTCACAAACAAACACACACACACACAGATAGGAAGGCAGGCACGCACACTTACCTGGCCACAGCTGACTGCAGTCTGCTCCATCTCCCTCCACACACCCAGCAGCTTTTCAGAGGCTAGAGACAGAACACGTTACATTACACTAGTCTAGTACTATAGTGTGGAATATACACTGCGTGTACAAAACATTAGGAACACCTTCCTAATATTGAGTTGCACCCCCTTTCGCCCTCAGAACAGCCTCAATTCGTCAGGGCGTGGACTCTACAAGGTGTCGAAAGCATTCCACAGGGATGCTGGCCCATGTTGACTCCAATGTTTCCCACAGTTGTGTCAAGTTGGCTGGATGTCCTTTGGGTGGTGGACCATTCTTGATACACACGGGAAACTGTTGACCGTGAAAAACAAAGCAGCGTTGCAATTCTTGACACACTCAAACCAGTGCGCCTGGCACCTACTACAATACCCCGTTCAAAGGCACTTAAAACTTTTGTCTTGCCCATTCTCCCTCTGAATGGCACACATACACAATCCATGTCTCAAGAATTAAAACTCCTGTAGCCCTTTACTGCAGTCAATGACCAAAAGCGCCCTCTTTGGCCTGTTATTCATATTTTTCATAATTTCATCATTAATAAAGATTAGTTTTAAAAAATGGACGAAAATCTGGTGTTTCTATGTCAGAGTTTTGTTATAGTTCTGTCTTCTGTGATGTATATCAAGTGTAATATTGGGATGCAAACTCAAAATGTAATACATTTCAACTCTATATCTGACATGGTACAGGCGTCTTCTTTTTCTTAAGCCCATAACGATGTGTGTGAGGTGTATACTTTTGTTTCAAAGTAGATTTGTTTAAGACTACCAAGAATCACTCTGTGTGACCCTGATTTAGCCCACTGCAGTAAAAGGTTAACCTGTCTCCTTTCCTTCATCTACACTGAATGAAGTGGATTTAACAGGTGACATCAATAAGGTGTCATAGCTTTCACCTGGATTCACCTGGTCAGTCTATGTCACAGAAAGAGCAGGTGTTCCTAATCTTTTGTACACTCAGTCAATATATAGTCAACCTATCCATGCTGAGTTGCAGTCTGGGGCAGTCATAAACATATACTATGGCTGTTGTCTGGTCCTGATATATTCCAGTTGTGACCCCTGTACATTACAGTACCTGTGTTTCCAGTAGCCTACCTATCCCTGTAGCTCTCTGCTCCTGGTATTTGTCCATGTCTATGTGCAGGCTGGTAGAGAAGAAGTCTAGTTTGGCCGTCAGCCTCTGGTTCATAGACACCATCTCATTCTTCTGCTTCGACAGGGAGCTGTTGTGTCTCAGCAAACTCATACTGATAGAAAGAGAGAGAGAGAGAAATAAAGAAAGAGAGGTAGAAAGAGAGAGAGAGAGTTTTGGGACTATTCCGTGACTTTCATTGTACCAGGCAAGCTAAATCAACAGCTCTTTAAGTATTTGACATTTGACTCCCCGGATAGAATAAGTATGTTTTTGAGTCTTACAGGGCAGCTTTCTGTCCCTGCTGTAACCTCTGCCAATCCTCCTTCAGGGTGCGGATGGTGTCCCAGGCCTGGCCCCAGGTCCTCCTCAGAGGACTGTAGGTCAACACGTGCTTAGGGTCCGTCTCTGAGAGGGAGAGAGAAAAAGAGAGAGAGACAGTTCCAGTGTATAACAGAATGCTCACATATTCACATGTAGAAAGTAGAGACAGTTGTGAGAGATGGCCACTTTTCATTGATATCTTTCACTTTTCTTAGCATTAGTGTGTGTGTGAACTCACGGACAAAGCGTATGTTCTCTGGCATTTTGCGGGGGGTGAACTGGGGCTCGTAGCTGCAGGAGGAACGGTCAAACAGAAACACCAGAGGAAGGTCTGTCCTCCTCCCGTCTATCTCCTGAGAGAGAGAGAGAGAGAGAGAGAGAGAGAGAGAGAGAGAGAGAGAGAGAGAGAGAGAGAGAGAGAGAGAGAGAGAGAGAGTAAAGATACGTGAAGACTTCTTATTATCCTTTACACCTGCAATATCTTGACTACTCTGTCCGACATGCTATATGAAACACATTTTGATTGGATTATAGATTATGTGTCAACATCAGATAGATTACAGTGTAGTCGATGGCACACTGCCCCGCCTCGCCCTGTGGCTCCAGAGCTAGTCCTGCCTCCAACAGTAGCTCTTGATTTGCTGGAGGGATGTTGGTGTCACACCCGATTCGCTGCTGCAGATCAGCCACGCTCTCATTGGCTGAGACAGAGTAGGTGAAGATTTTAGCAGACACCATGTTCAATACGTGAACCAGCTAGCGAGAGAGAGCGAGAGAGAGAGAGAAAGAATCAACAAAACAAATCCTTCCATTACAACCCAGTGTCTTGCCAACCAAGGATCCTGTGAGAGAGATGTGTACTGAATTAAAGAGAGTGTGTGTGTCGTGTACCTTCAGCCCCAGTATAGTCTCTAGCTGAGAGAAGCAGTCTGAGGAGGTGGTCTGGGGGTCTGCCTTGCCTCTCTCCTGGGGAGACCACCTCAGCATCAGCTGCAGCCAGCTCTCTAGACGGCCCAACAACAGACTACCACACACACACACAATGAGGAATAATTCACCCAAATGATCAAATGACTTATCTCATGTCTTAATAAATTGAAAGTACTTTATTGGCAAGGAGAAATGGCCCCAGGTGGCGGTGTAGTGACTCACGTGTTGAGGTTGTTGGGCTGGGGCAGGTGTTTAGAGAAGCGCACCTCCCCTGTCAGGTCCTCATAAACCACAATGTCATGATCCTGCTTCAACTTCACCTTATTATGCCTGAGAGAGCGAATGAGACAGAGAGAGAGATGAGGGGGAGGAGAACAGATAATTAGTATTTTTCTATTTCAATTGCTTAGATTGCTAACGATAAGATATACATTCACATGCTTGCACACAGACAAACACACACGCACACACACACACACATAGGGAATGCAAGCTTGGCCATGCCAGTCTTGTCAACGCTGGCCACAGAGGCCCACATGGGCAGTACACACACATTTCCCCTTGTTCTTTAGGTCTTTGATAGCGTGTTGAAATATAATCATATTACAGTATAACTTGAGTCTGGAGTGTGGTCTATCATAACCAAACATACCACCCTTTAGGAATACCATTCAACAGGTTTATTATTGTAGCTCAAGGTTGAACACAGCAGGATAAAGCAACAATGGGTCCGTGTTTCTAACAGGGGAAAGAACAATAAGAGGTTTAGCTGGAGGGTGTGTGTGTGTGTTTGTAGTGGGTGTGTCTAGTGTGTGTGTGTGTGTGTGTGTGTGCGTAGTGAGTGTGTGTTCGTTTGTGTGTGGCAGTACCAGGGCACGGGTTGCCAGGTTGGCAGGAAGGGGCGGAACCCAGTAATGCACTCAAACACCAATGTTCCAAAGCTCCAATAATCCACGGTCACTGTATACTTCTGTCTCTCCAAGAGCTCTGGAGCCTGAGAGAGAGAGAGAAAGAGAGATAGAGATAGACATAGAGAGAGAGAAATAGATAGAGATAGACAGAGAGAGATAGAGATAGACAGAGATAGAGCGAGAGAGAGAAAGCGGGGAGAGAGAGAGACAGGAAGGGGAGTGGGAGAAGAACTGTGAAAAATTGCTATGAAAAAGAAGAACCTATGAGAGATAAAAGAACAGAGAGGGAAAGTGAGATAATTCCTAGTAAATGTATATCTCTGATACTACCACAGAGATATACAAATAGAACAGATAGAATAAGTGTTAGCCACAGTAGCACCACACACCAGGTATTGCAGTGTTCCAACGAATGAGGTACACAGACTGTTCTGGTCCAGTTCCTTGGCATAGCCCAGATCTATGATCTTATGGATCAACTACAGAGAGAGGAAGAGATAACAGTGTCACGGGTTATGCTTAATTTCACGATGTATGGCGTATTCCTAGTATTAACTAAGAAATGACATGGTAAAACAGTAACTACATAACATATAATTAACTAATAAATATCAAATAACTACTTTGGTGCTCTACTGCCTTTAAGAACCGTTTCATATAATAGTTCTACGGCCCCTACTTCTCAAAGCAAGCACTGTACTCCAAACACACACCGTCACCAGGAGGGCGTTTAGTATTGCTATTGTGTGTGAAACATTTCACAATAAAAATAATTTACGGTCAATTTAAACCAGAAAGAAATATGTGTGTTTTGTGCCGTACCCTTCATATAATGCTATCAAACAATACAAGGGCGTATACATAAACATTTAGCAACAACTTGTTTTAATATGTCTGGCCTTAGTTAGTTATACAACTAGATTTCTGTCCATGCAATCCTATTGAGAAGTTTAGGGATGGATGGTATATATTGCATTATTAACTAGATGGAGACATATTGGGCAAGGTAAGAACTATTACAGAGGGTGGGTGTCTGTTGGTTTTGGCGTTTGCAGTGGTTTGTGGTTCTGTGATTAGGCAGGTCATGAACCCATATTCAAGATCATGTTAGCCTGTTGAGCCAAAGCCAAGGCATTTGTCTGGGAGTGACTGCAAAGAGTTCCGTTTCTAAAATCACACAGGGAGACTCACTCTCTTCTCTCCCTGCTGTAGGACGATGTTCTCTGGCTTTAGATCTCTGTGGATGATCCTCTTCTTATGGAGGTAGGTCAGAGCAGAGGCTAGGAGACAGAGAGAGAAGGGGGAGAGAGAGAGAGAGAGAGAATAAACAAAACCAAGCTATCCAGTCACAACCCAGTGTAATCAAACAGTATCCTGGTATTTTAATCAAACAGGTAATCAAATAGGATCCTGGGCTTCTTTCCTGCTTTCTCTTGTCAATACAGACTAACCAGAGGAGAGCATCAGCATCATTTAGGGGGTGAATCATTTGGCATTACATTACACTGCTAATAGGGCATCGAAAAGCAACCTGACCACTCTGGAAATGTAATGAGTCCGAGACTAATGATACAGCCGTGTGTGTGTGTGTGTGTGGGGGGGGGGCACTTGTGCATGGTACTGTGTGATTCAACATACTGTGTCATTGATGTCCAGTAAGGGTCTGGCCTTTGTCTCTGTGCTGTAGTGTTGATTGGCATGGTCACTTAACATCCTGCATCAATGGGTGACTGGTGAGTGAGTTGGCTAAGAGTGTTAAATGATGCGGATCCCGTAACCCCAATGCCCCTGTATGTGAGTGTGTGTGTCAGGGCTCGGCGGGTGGTACATTGTAAAACTCTCATCAGCAGGAAGTGCCCACCAAAGTTCAACAGGAAGAGGAATGATTTGAGTGGGTGTGTGTTACTACTTGAGTATGAGTATGTTTTGCATGTCTGCATTTCAAGTGTTGCACCTATCTGTCTGTGCCTGCTCTCAGAGATGTGAGATCTATGGATTTATATATGCATCCCTGAGCGTGTGTGTGTTTGTTTATTTATGCGTGTTTCCTCCTGTGAGTATGGTGTGAGTGTGTTCAAGTGTAGAAGTCTGTACACAGTCCTGCTCTCGCATATCTGTGTGCATGTATAAGATGATTTATGATTTGGTGTGAGTGTGACGATGTGTGCCTATGAATATCAGGAAGTTTGCGGTTAGCTTATGAAGACTTGCAGTTTCATATTTAGTATGGTCATGTCTGGTCATGTCATGCCAGTGAAAAATCTGTCGATGTGCCCTTGAGCAATGCACTTAACCCTAATTGCTCCTGTAAGTCGCTCTGGATAAGAGTGTCTGCTAAATGTATAAGGAAAACAGGGTGAATGGAAAACACTATCAAAGTTTAGACAAAATGTATCTGAAATGTGTCAGCAGTTAAAGCAAGTTCAGCAACTGTCGAGCATCTAAAAAGGCCTACTCGATGATGAAAATGAAAATACATGTTTGTGGGTTCACTGGACTTCCTGGCTTGTCTTCACTATGTAATATACATGTAATAAGATAATCATTTAGAAGACGCTATTACCAAAGCAAGAAACTCACAGTAAACACATATTTTCAGTACATGTGGCCTATGCAGGAATCAAACCATCACACTATGTGTGAGTGGTGTCAATGGTGACTGGCCTGTGGTTAGGGTTGTTGATGATGTCACTCTAAAAGTCAGACAGACAGGTGTGTGTGTGACACACACAGGCCATGCCCATTTACTCCATCCAACAGGAAGTTGATCATACATTAACTGTCACCTCACAGGAAGTGGCTCTGTGATGTCACCATCAGGAACGTGGAACATGGCCAAACTGCTGGCATTTGACACAGACACCATGTCTGACACTTTGAGAATTGGTCAAAATCCCTGTGTAAATGCAATGCATTAGAGCTACTACTCACATATGTCCCGTAGCAGAATAAGGATGGAACCCTCCCTCATTCCACAGCAGTTCTCCAACACGTTCAGATACTGGAGAAACACACACACACACAGGAGAAACATGAACAGCATAAGGCTTTTGTTGTTTGGGTTTTTGGGGTGTGGTTGGTGTGTGTGGGGTGTGTTGTGTGTGTGTGTGTGTGTATATAACACACCTTCCTCAGGTCACCTCCCTGACAGTACTCCATGGCCAGTAGAGGTAGATCGTGGATGCGTAAGGAGGACTGCAGTCCTTCAGGAACCTCCCTCGCTGCTACCAACGTTCCAGGTCCATCTGGAGACAGAGATGAGAAGAGAGAGAAGAGAGAGAGGAGAGAGAAGAGAAGAGATAGAAGAGAAGAGAGAGGGGAGAGAGAGAGAGAGTGATATCTATATCGAATAGAGAAGAGAGAGATAGAGAGAGATAGCGAGAGAGATAGATATATATAGACTATATAGATAGAGATAGATAGATAGATAGATACGATAGAGAGTAGATAGATAGAGATAGAGAGAGAGATTATCGTCTTCTCTCTCTCCTCTCTCTCATATCTCTCATCTCTCTATCTCTACTTCTTCTCTATTCTCCCTAATAAAAATGCGCGAACCCGATTATAGATACTGTTTTGCACTTTTTGCCTCACTGTAGAATGTATAAATGTGTTTCTGATTGTCCAGGCTGAACTGTCCTAAAACCGTCCAATAAAAACCTGTGAAAACAATTTCACTATATTACTGTACCTAATATGCAAGTGGTTAGGTGATACAGATGATGGTAATCACTGGGATAATAAATAGTCATGAGGTCATCATCAGTCAGCAGACAATGTACAGTCATTGTGTGTTTTAGTCTCATAATGGTAGTCTGAGAAGTAACTGATTGCTAACCCAAACATTATCAGAATATCATAACAACCCATCACCACTGGACACGGTGTGAGCCAGTATAGTGAAAAATGTATGACTGGAAATGGAAAATCTCTAGTGACTTCTGTAAGGTTAACTGACGTCCGCTGGGCAGTGTGTGTGCAGTTATGGGGTGTCTGTAAATGTATGATGTAGTGGGGTGTGTGTGAGGTGTTATAAGGTGTTTGTAAAAGTGTGACTCTATCAAAGGCTTTCATGCCTGCACTGCACTGCACAACACACACACACACACAAAAGAAAAAACCTGAAGCTGACTTTGACTCAACATTTAAGGGCTTCAGTTGACCTTGGCTGAAAATCTGATGTTATTACATTGAACTTTGGGTTTAAACTTTGCATGGGCAAGGCTATGACGGTGTGTGTGTGTGTGTGTGGCTTAGCAGTGCTTGGGTACAAGAGAGGGTTGTGGTTGAGACCACGTCTGTCTGACAACAACACACTCGTTAAAGCATGACCTGACAACAAGAAATCCTCACACATTCATACAAAAATACACACACTGACAAATTACCTCTCCACACCCACACCCAACTTGACCACCAAGAATTAGCCCCCCCCCCTTCCCACCCCTTCTGACACCAAGACAAATTGTCACCCCCCCACACAGCGCTACTCGCCAACAGGAGTACCACTGGCACCACAGCCAAGATGAGCTGGTGGAACACTACCTATCCTGTGCCAAATGACCAACACAGAACCCACAGACTGAAATAGACCCAGCTTTCATGTCTTTTTAATGTCATTGCTCATTTTTACTACAGCCGAATAAAACAATTGTTCCATTGTAGTATTTTTCCTGCCCCAATGTGGACTGCAAAACAAATGAGGGGACATAAAAAGTGTCAGTGTCATGGAATGTGCCGTGACATCTTATGTGGCCTTTCTCTACGACAGAAGGCAAGCTGAGGCATGATGCTAATAGCAGAGAGAACAAAGCAAATAGGCATTGTGAAACATGCAAATCTCCCTGAATGTTTCGTTACAAATAAATCTAATCAAATCACATGCGCAAAATACAACAGGTGTAGACTTTACAGTGAAATGCTTACTTACGAGCCCGCTCCCAACAATGCAGCGTTAAAAAGTAAGAAAAATATTTTGTAAATAAAAAAGGAGATAGTAACACAATAACGAGGCAATATACAAGGAGTACCAGTACCGAGTCAATGTACAGGGGTAAGAGGTAGTTGAGGTAATACAGTATGTACATGTGGGTAGGGGTAAAAGTGACTAGGCAATCAGGATAGATAATAAACAGAGTAGCAGCAGCATATGAGTGATGCTGTGTAATATTGAGTGATGCTGTGTAATATTGAGTGATGCTGTGTAATATTGAGTGATGCTGTGAGTAAGACAGGCTCAAGTGGGATATACGTAACGTAATCCCAATTGGTGATTTGGTAATAAGGCTAATTTGTTGGATTCACACTGCCAACTTCCTGTCTTACTGTACTCCATAGCCATCCATATTCCTTCCCCTGCTGTGTTGGCAGATATGACGCAAATGGATTGGTCTACAGCTACCCTAAACCCATTGTAAAGCTAAGTGGACCCATTGCCATATTGCTCGCACGATGCAAGTCCCTTAAGATCGGTAAATAAAAATAAAACGTTTTCGTAGACAAAAAAGTTTGGTGGGAAAAAGTCTCTCACCTCTTCATTATCTGTATTTCCAGACACCAGCGTTCTCTGTTCCTCTCACTCAGCTCCTGACGACACTGCTTAATGGCTATCTGCTCCTCTGTGTCCTACACAACAACACACACGTAGGATTAGACACACACACATAAACACACACACAAACACACTTACAATGCTGTTACAATACACACAGTACACAGAAAGAGACAGGCCTGACGCAATGTAAAGCTGTCTGAAGTATAATAGTCACATACATTTTACATTTACATTACATTTTCGTCATTTAGCAGACGCTCTTATACAGAGCGACTTACAAATTGGTGCATTCACCTTATGATGGCCAGTGGGACAACCACTTTACAATATATATATATATAGGAAAACCTGCAAAATCGGCAGTGTATCAAATACTTGTTCTCCCCACTGTATATATATATATATATACAGTGAGGGAAACAAGTATTTGATCCCCTGCTGATTTTGTACGTTTGCCCACTGACAAAGAAATTATCAGTCTATAATTTTAATGGTAGCTTTATTTGAACAGTGAGAGACAGAATAACAACAAAACAATCCAGAAAAACGCATGTCAAAAATGTTATAAATTGATTTGCATTTTAATGAGGGAAATAAGTATTTGACCCCCTCTCAATCAGAAAGATTTCTGGCTCCCAGGTGTCTTTTATACAGGTAACAGGCTGAGATTAGGAGCACACTCTTAAAGGGAATGCTCCTAATCTCAGCTTGTTACCTGTATAAAAGACACCTGTCCACAGAAGCAATCAATCAATCAGATTCCAAACTCTCCACCATGGCCAAGACCAAAGAGCTCTCCAAGGATGTCAGGGACAAGATTGTAGACCTACACAAGGCTGGAATGGGCTACAAGACCATCGCCAAGCAGCTTGGTGAGAAGGTGACAACAGTTGGTGCGATTATTCGCAAATGGAAGAAACACAAAATAACTGTCAATCTCCCTCGGCCTGGGGCTCCATGCAAGATCTCACCTCGTGGAGTTGCAATGATCATGAGAACGGTGAGGAATCAGCCCAGAACTACACGGGAGGATCTTGTCAATGATCTCAAGGCAGCTGGGACCATAGTCACCAAGAAAACAATTGGTAACACACTATGCCGTGAAGGACTGAAATCCTGCAGCGCCCGCAAGGTCCCCCTGCTCAAGAAAGCACACATACAAGCCCATCTGAAGTTTGCCAATGAACATCTGAATGATTCAGAGGAGAACTGGGTGAAAGTGTTGTGGTCAGATGAGACCAAAATCGAGCTCTTTGGCATCAACTCAACTCGCCGTGTTTGGAGGAGGAGGAATGCTGCCTATGACCCCAAGAACACCATCCCCACCGTCAAACATGGAGGTGGAAACATTATGCTTTGGGGGTGTTTTTCTGCTAAGGGGAAAGGACAACTTCACCGCATCAAAGAGACGATGGACAGGGCCATGTACTGTCAAATCTTGGGTGAGAACCTCCTTCCCTCAGCCAGGGCATTGAAAATGGGTCGTGGATGGGTATTCCAGCATGACAATGAACCAAAACACACGGCCAAGGCAACAAAGGAGTGGCTCAAGAAGAAGCACATTAAGGTCCTGGAGTGGCCTAGCCAGTCTCCAGACGTTAATCCCATAGAAAATCTGTGGAGGGAGCTGAAGGTTCGAGTTGCCAAACGTCAGGCTCGAAACCTTAATGACTTGGAGAAAATCTGCAAAGAGGAGTGGGACAAAATCCCTCCTGAGTTGTGTGCAAACCTGGTGGCCAACTACAAGAAACGTCTGACCTCTGTGATTGCCAACAAGGGTTTTGCCACCAAGTACTAAGTCATGAGAGGGGTCAAATACTTATTTCCCTCATTAAAAGGCAAATCAATTCATAACATTTTTGACATGCGTTTTTCTGGATTTTTTTGTTGTTATTCTGTCTCTCACTGTTCAAATAAACCTACCATTAAAATTATAGACTGATCATGTCTTTGTCAGTGGGCAAACGTACAAAATCAGCAGGGGATCAAATACTTTTTTCCCTCACTGTATATATATATATATATACAGTGGGGAGAACAAGTATTTGATACACTGCCGATTTTGCAGGTTTTCCTACTTACAAAGCATGTAGAGGTCTGTAATTTTTATCATAGGTACACTTCAACTGTGAGAGACGGAATCTAAAACAAAAATCCATAAAATCACATTGTATGATTTTTAAGTAATTCATTTGCATTTTATTGCATGACATAAGTATTTGATCACCTACCAACCAGTAAGAATTCCGGCTCTCACAGACCTGTTAGTTTTTCTTAAAGAAGCCCTCCTGTTCTCCACTCATTACCTTTATTAACTGCACCTGTTTGAACTCGTTACCTGTATAAAAGACACCTGTCCACACACTCAATCAAACAGACTCCAACCTCTCCACAATGGCTAAGACCATAGAGCTGTGTAAGGACATCAGGGATACAATTGTTGACCTGCACAAGGCTGGGATGGGCTACAGGACAATAGGCAAGCAGCTTGGTGAGAAGGCAACAACTGTTGGCGCAATTATTAGAAAATGGAAGAAGTTCAAGATGACGGTCAATCACCCTCGGTCTGGGGCTCCATGCAAGATCTCACCTCGTGGGGCATCAATGATCATGAGGAAGGTGAGGGATCAGCCCAGAACTACACGGCAGGACCTGGTCAATGACCTGAAGAGAGCTGGGACCACAGTCTCAAAGAAAACCATTAGTAACACACTACGCCATCATGGATTAAAATCCTGCAGCGCACGCAAGGTCCCCCTGCTCAAGCCAGCGCATGTCCAGGCCCGTCTGAAGTTTGCCAATGACCATCTGGATGATCCAGAGGAGGAATGGGAGAAGGTCATGTGGTCTGATGAGACAAAAATAGAGCTTTTTGGTCTAAACTCCACTCGCCGTGTTTGGAGGAAGAAGAAGGATGAGTACAACCCCAAGAACACCATCCCAACCGTGAAGCATGGAGGTGGAAACATCATTCTTTGGGGATGCTTTTCTGCAAAGGGGACAGGACGACTGCACCGTATTGAGGGGAGGATGGATGGGGCCATGTATCGCGAGATCTTGGCCAACAACCTCCTTCCTTCAGTAAGAGCATTGAAGATGGGTCGTGGCTGGGTTTTCCAGCATGACAACGACCCGAAACACACAGCCAGGGCAACTAAAGAGTGGCTCCGTAAGAAGCATCTCAAGGTCCTGGAGTGGCCTAGCCAGTCTCCAGACCTGAACCCAATAGAAAATATTTGGAGGGAGCTGAAAGTCCGTATTGCCCAGCGACAGCCCCGAAACCTGAAGGATCTGGAGAAGGTCTGTATGGAGGAGTGGGCCAAAATCCCTGCTGCAGTGTGTGTAAACCTGGTCAAGACCTACAGGAAACGTATGATCTCTGTAATTGCAAACAATGGTTTCTGTACCAAATATTAAGTTCTGCTTTTCTGATGTATCAAATACTTATGTCATGCAATAAAATGCAAATTAATTACTTAAAAACCATACAATGTGATTTTCTGGATTTTTGTTTTAGATTCCGTCTCTCACAGTTGAAGTGTACCTATGATAACTCCTGAGTGGCGCAGTGGTCTAAGGCACTGCATCGCAGTGCTAACTGTGCCACTAGATCCTGGTTCGAATCCAGGCTCTGTCGCAGCCGGCCGCGACCGGGAGACTCATGGGCGGCGCACAATTGGCCCAGCGTCGTCCAGGGTAGGGGAGGGAATGGCCGGCAGGGATGTAGCTCAGTTGATAGAGCATGGCGTTTGCAATGCCAGGGTTGTGGGTTCGATTCCCACGGGGGGCCAGTATAAAAAAAATATGTATTCACTAACTGTAAGTCGCTCTGGATAAGAGCGTCTGCTAAATGACTAAAATGTAAATGATAAAAATGACAGACCTCTACATGCTTTGTAAGTAGGAAAACCTGCAAAATTGGCAGTGTATCAAATACTTGTTCTCCCCACTTATATATATATATTATATTTTTTTGGGGGGGGGGGTTGGGTAGGGGGAGGGTAGAAGGATTACTTTTATCCTATCCCAGGTATTCCTTAAAGAGGTGGGGTTTCAAGTGTCTCCGGAAGGTGGTGAGTGACTCCGCTGTCCTGGCGTCGTGAGGGAGCTTGTTCCACCATTGAGGTGCCAGAGCAGCGAACAGTTTTGACTGGGCTGAACGGGAACTGTGCTTCCGCAGAGGTAGGGGGGCCAGCAGGCCAGAGGTGGATGAACGCAATGCCCTCGTTTGGGTGTAGGGACTGATCAGAGCCTGAAGGTACGGAGGTGCCGTTCCCCTCACAGCTCCGTATGCAAGCACCATGGTCTTGTAGCAGATGCAGGCTTCAACTGGAAGCCAGTGGAGTGTGCGGAGGAGCGGGGTGTCGTGAGAGAACTTGGGAAGGTTGAACACCAGACGGGCTGCAGCGTTCTGGATGAGTTGTAGGGGTTTAATGGCATAGGCAGGGAGCCCAGCCAACAGCGAGTTGCAGTAATAAATCAATTAACACTTAAACTCTGGGCAACACATAATGAGCTGTACGACCAGCTTATTGTTTATTTGGGGTATTAAGATGGCATCCTCAACAATCCAGGAAGTAACGGATGGCATCATCACCAGTGATTCAGAAAGTAGCAGAGGAAGTACCATGAACACAATGCCAGAGCACCTCATGCCCTTCCCTCCATTTCCTATGACAGACCGAAGTTACACTATATATACAAAAGTATGTGGACACACTTCAAATTAGTGGATTCGCCTATTTCACCACACCCGTTGCTGACAGGTGTATAAAATCGAGGACACACCATGCAATCTCCATAGACAAACATTGGCAGTAGAATGGCCTTACTGAAGAGCTCAGTGACTTTCAACATGGCACCGTCATAGGATGCCACCTTTCCAACAAGTCAGTGCGTCAAATTTCTGCCCTGCTAGAGCTGCCCCGGTCAACTGTAAGTGCTGTTATTGTGATGTAGAAACGTCTTGGAGCAACAACGGCTCAGCCGTGAAGTGGTAGGCCACACAAGCTCACAGAATGGGACCGCCGAGTGCTGAAGCGTGTAACGCGTAAAAATTGTCTGTCCTCGGTTGCAACACGAGTTCTAAACTGCCTCTGGAAGCAACGTCAGCACAAGAACTGTTTGTCAGGTGCTTCATGAAATGGGTTTCCATGGCCGAGCAGCCGCACACAAGCCTAAGATCACTCATGCGCAATGCCAAGCGTCAGCTGGAGTGGTGTAAAGCTCGCCGCCATTGGACTCTGGAACCGTGGAAACACGTTCTCTGGAGTGATGAATCACGCTTCACCATCTGGCAGTCCAACGGACTAATCTGGGTTTGATTCTGTGATTCCAACTTTGTGGCAACAGTTTGGGGAAGGCCCTTTCCTGTGTTAGCATGACAATGCCCCCATGCACAAAGCGAGGTCCATACAGAAATGGTTTGTCGAGATTGGTGTGGAAGAACTTGACTGTACATCTACGTCCCTCTCATCCTGTGATGTCATAGGCCAGGGAGGATGGGCCAGGTGACAGGATAAAGCTGAGTGTATTTCCTGTAAGTTAAATTTAAAGCATTCTTGATGAGGGAATGTAATATTACATCAGATATTAATGTGGGGGCCTCCACAGGTTCTGCTAGGTGTGCAGCAGCATAGGTCGTAGGCTATCTGATGACAGTAAGAAGTATAAAACATGCCACCACTGAGGCAGCTTATACGTGATAGCATAGCACCTTTGCAAACACAAAAAATATAGTAAAAGTTAAAGGTAACAAAATACACACATGAATGGTATGGGTGGTCCTCTGTAGCTCAATTGGTAGTGCATGGCGCTTGTAACGCCAGGGTAGTGGGTTCGATCCCTGGGACCACCCATACGTAAAAATGTATGCACACATGACTGTAAGTCACTTTGGATAAAAGCGTCTGCTAAATGGCATATTATTATTATATTATTATTACCTTGTTCTGCCATCGGGTGACGTTCCCGAAGCCCCCGGTCCCCAGGCGTTCCTTCAGCTCCCAGGAGCCACAGCTCTGCTGCTGCTGCAGGGGAACGCAACTCATGGTCCTCAGATAGTCCTGACCTCAGCCACACAACAACACAGGATCTGGAAAAAAGTTACTACAGCATTATTTGCCTGTATGGTACACTGTATGTAGGCCTAACTAAAGCATGTCTGGACCTTTGGGGCACTGAAGGTAGTAGCAAGCAGGCCGTATTTATTTCTAAATATATGGTAACAAGTAACTTCGGCTACTACTTGCACTATAATGACAGGGTTACTAGCTCAACATCCATAGCTGTTCTCTCTGAATACATAATAGGCTACATTATATCAACACTGAAATGACAACACTGATTGTCAGCAGGCTACAGGAGAACATAAAATGTATTCTTTATAAAGCAGCAGCACAGCAGTATAATGCGGATAGTTTCTGTGTGTGTGTTTCGATTTATAAAAAATAAAAGTATGCTTATATTGTGTTTATAAACATCACAATCTTTCTAGTTGCTGTTTTTCCGCTTATTATAAAAGACTACAGCTGGCATTAGGCTTCCCCGATGCTACTGTAATGTAGCACAACTACCGCGAGGACCTCTCACCTTTCGATCGTGAGTAGTGACTGTAAAATTAGGCCTACCTGAAACGTAGACTTTGGCCAATGAAAAAGTTCGGTTTATAATGATAGACGCAGCTACCTAGCATACACTTTTGTTCATGAAAGTAACCTTCACTTTCTCTCGACTTACTACTGTAGATGGCGACAAAAAAAATCTCAAATCTACTTCCTGAAAGTCAGATTTCCTGTAAACCTGAACGCGGGGTTGATCCGCCCACAAAGAGCATAGCGCATTCTTCGTCTGTGTGAAACTGAAGGCCTACTGGAGACTGGTACTGCTGAAATAGGTCACTGCTGATATAGGTCAATACCTGATACACGGATACAGTAGCTATGTTCATAATCTCTGTCAATGTCTCCAATGGAGACTCAGTGACTAGTGCTGTCTTTGTTTGGAGAAGGAGATCTAAAGAGAAAATGTGCCAAATGTGCCAATAGCTGTTCTCATAAGAAAATGATAGGCTGCTACATGAAACGAGGGTCATGGCTAGAAGGAATCCAGCTTTTGTCAAATTAACGTCAAAAGTTGAAATGTTTTGCATTTAAACCTTTTCCTAACCTTAACGTAATTATCATAACCTGCTACGTTAATTATCCTAACCTGCTATGAAAATTCAAATCTGAAGTTAATTTGACAAAAGCTGGATCCCTTCTAGCCATGACTCTACATGAGGTCTGCTCACTCTAGCAGAGCATGGTTGCGCCTCAAACTGAGAAATTATAAAAAGTATGTGGACACCTCTTCAAATTAGTGGATTCAGCTATTTCAGCCACACCCGTTGCTGACAAACACTGGCAGTAGAATGGCCTTACTGAAGAGCTCAGTCACTTTCAACGTGGCACCGTCATAGGATGCCACCTTTCCAAAAAGTCAGTTAGTCAAATTTCTGCCCTGCTAGACCTGCCCCGGTCAACTGTAAGTGCTGTTATTGTGAAGTGGAAACATCTAGGAGTAACAACGGCTCAGCCGTGAAGTGGTAGGCCACACAAGCTCACAGAAAGGGACCACCGAGTGCTGGAAAAAAAAAAATTGTCTGTCCTCGGTTGCAACACTCACTACCAAGTTTCAAACTGTCCCTGGAAGCAACGTCAGCACAATAACTGTTTGTCGGGAGCTTCATGGAATGGGTTACCATGGCCGAGCAGCCGCACACAAGCCTAAGATCGCCATGCGCAATGCCAAGCATTGGCTGGAGTGGTGTAAAGGAGGAATAATGGTCTGGGGCTGTTTTTCATGGTTCAGGCTAGGCCCCTTAATTCCAGTGAAGGGAAATCTTAACGCTACAGCATACAATGGCAATCTAGACGATTCTGTGCTTCCAACTTTGTGGCAACAGTTTGGGCAAGGCCCTTTCCTGTTTCAGCATGACAATGCCCCCGTGCACAAAGGTAAGGTCCATACAGAAATGGTTTGTCGAGATCGGTGTGGAAGAACTTGACTGGCCTGCATAGAGCCCTGACCTCAACCCCATCGAACACCTTTGGCATGAATTGGAACGCCGACTGCGAGCCAGGCCTAATCGCCCAATATCAGTGCCTGACCTCACTAATGCTCTTGTGGCTGAATGGAAGCAAGTCCCCGCAGCAATGTTCCAACATCTAGTGGAAAGCCTTCCCAGAAGAGGGGAGGCTGTTATTGCAGCAAAGGGGGGACCAACACCATATTAATGCCCATGATTTTGGAATGAGATGTTCGATGGTGTCCACATACCTTTGGTCATGTAGTGTATTTAAAAAAAAAGATTACTAGTATTTTTTAAATGTTGTATTATGCCCAGCTCATGAGGCCCCTTGATGATGTGAGGCCTGAGGCAATTGCCCCGTCTGCCTAATGGTAAGTCTGCCACTGGTCACCGTAAAGAAACGCAACATTCAACATTTTCAAAGATTTTACTGAGTTACAGTTCATATAAGGAAATCAGTTAATTGAAATAAATAAATTAGGCCCTAATCTATGGATTTCACATGACTGGGAATACAGATATTGTCCTCCTCCTTGCTCGGGCAGGCTTCAGCGTTCGTCGTCCCCGGAGTACTAGCTGCTGCCGATCGATGTTTCGGTGTTTGTCTTGTTTGGTCTTTATTGTTTACACCTGTTTCCCATTATGTTGTATTGTATTCCCTATATTTACCCCTGTCTCTCATTGGTTATTGTGTGTGATTGTTCTTTGTCATTCCGGCAGTTGCTTTGGTGTTCGGGTTATTGTGTTTTCCTCCCTGTTTGGAGGTTTGTTGTTTTTGTATATTATTTTACTGTGTTCAGTAAAAGTACGTTTGCCAGCCGCTCTGTGTCCTGCGTTTGACTTCGCTGACCGCATACACGTCGCGTGACAGAATCACACACCTAGACATGGAGTCAGCAGGAGCGGCGGTGCCAGCTGGATCAATGGAGGAGCGCGTAGCACAACAAGCGACCATGATCCAGGCTCTCGGCACCACCATGGAACGGGTGGTGAACACCATGGAGCGATGGGAAAGAGGAGGTTTGCCCACACCTCCTCCTCCGATACCACCACCATCAGCTATACCCATCGCTTCACCTCCGGGGTCCAGTGGGATTCGGCTCTCGCTCCCGAGGGCTTATGATGGCACAGCGGCCAGGTGTCAGGGTTTCCTGCTCCAAGTGGAACTCTACCTGGCAACCATCCACCCGGTGCCCTCGGGATACGAGAGCGTGTCTGTCCGGCAAGGCGCTGGAGTGGGCCAACGCCGAGTGGGGGGGAATAGACGCCGCTACAGTCAACTATGCAGAGTTCACCCGCCGGTGAGCGTCTGTTCCACCTCAGACAGGGGAAGAGGAGCGCGCAGGAGTTCGCACTGGACTTTCCGGACTCTGGCTGCCGACGCGGGGTGGAATGAGAGGGCCTTCATCGACCACTACAGATGTAGCCTGAGGGAGGACGTGCGTCGGGAATTGGCCTGCAGGGACACCAACCTAAGCTTCGATCAGCTGGTGGACATGTCGATTCGCCTAGATACCCTGTTGGCTACCCGCGGACGTCCGGAGTCGGGGCCGTCCATTCCATCCCCCAGCACTTCCGAGCCGAACCCTATGGAGCTCGGGGGTGCTGGTGCTAGGGAGACCAGGAGAGAGACCAGGAGAGAGGCCGTCCCCTGCACCAACTGTGGCCGCAGAGGACACACTGCAGGTCGGTGCTGGGGAGGGTCTCCTAGGAATCGAGGCAGCAGGCAGCGCACTGATGAGTCATTCCAGGTGAGTAAGCACCCAACTCACCCAGAGCTCTCTGTTGCGCATATGTGTATTAAAGTTGTGTTTCCTAGGTTTCTCCTCACTCCCAGCATAAGGCGCTAGTAGATTCAGGCGCAGCTGGGAATTTTATCAATCACCGGTTCACGTATAAGTTAGGGATTCCTATTGTACCAGTTGATGTGCCCTTCCCCATCCATGCCCTAGATAGCCGCCCTTTGGGGTCGGGATTGATTAGGGAGGTCACAGCGCCACTTAAGATGAAGACGCAGGAGGGCCATGAGGAGATTATACGGTTATATTTGATTGATTCTCCTGCGTTGCCTGTGGTGTTGGGGCTTCCCTGGTTAACATCTCATGACCCCAACATTTCATGGCAACAGAGGGCTCTCAAGGGATGGTCTGATCAGTGTGTGGGGCGGTGTGTAGGTGTTTCCGTAGGGGCAACGACGGTGGAAAGCCCGAACCAAGTTCCCACCATGCACATTCCTCCTGAGTATGCCGATTTGGCACTCGCCTTCTGTAAAAGAAGGCGACTCAATTACCACCTCATCGACAGGGGGATTGTGCGATTAGACCTCCAGGTAGGCGCTGCGCTTCCTCGTAGTCATGTGTATCCTCTGTCTCAGGAGGAGACGGCGGCTATGGAGACAGACGGCGGCTATGGAGACATACGTCACCGAATCTCTGAGACAGGGATACATACGCTCGTCCACTTCCCCTGCGTCCTCAAGTTTATTTTTTGTGAAGAAGAAGGATGGGGGTTTACGTCCGTGTATTGATTACCGTGGTCTCAATCAGATTACAATCAAATACAGCTATCCTCTCACTCTGATTGCTAGTATGACGGAGTCATTACACGGGGCGCGATTCTTCACAAAATTGGATCTCAGGAGCGCGTACAACCTGGTGCGCATTAGGGAGGGAGATGAGTGGAAGACAGCATTCAGTACCACCTCGGGTCACTATGAGTACCTCGTCATGCCATACGGTTTAATGAATGCTCCTTCAGTCTTCCAATCGTTTGTGGACGAGATTTTCCGGGATTTGCATGGACAGGGTGTAGTGGTGTATATTGATGACATTCTAATATACTCCGCTACCCGAGCTGAGCATGTGTCCCTGGTGCGTCGGGTGCTTGGTAGACTGTTGGAGCATGACCTGTATGGGAAGGCAGAGAAATGTCTGTTCTTCCAGGAGTCCATCTCCTTCCTGGGACATCGGTTGTCCGCGTCAGGGGGTGGAGATGGAGATTGACCGCGTTTCAGCAGTGCGTAATTGGCAGACTCCCAACACGGTGAAGGAGGTGCAGCGTTTCTTGGGTTTTGCCAATTACTACCGGAGGTTTATCCGGGGCTTTGGACAGGTAGCAGCTCCATCACCCTCCTGCTAAAGGGGGGGCCCGGTGCGTCTGCAGTGGTCGGCTGAGGCGGACAGGGCGTTTAGACATCTGAAGGACCTGTTCACCTCGGCTCCGGTGCTGGCACAATCCGGATCCCTCTTTGGCGTTCCAAGTTGAGGTAGATGCGTCCGAGGCGAGGATCGGTGCTATCCTGTCTCAGCGCTCGGGTACGCCACCAGAACTCCGCCCCTGTGCTTTCTATTCTAAGAAGCTCAGTCCGGCGGAGCGCAATTATGACGTGGGGGACAGGGAGCTGCTAACGGTGGTTCAAGCCCTGAAGGTGTGGAGGCATTGGCTTGAGGGGCTAACCACCCTTTCCTCATTCTGACTGACCATCGTAACCTGGAGTACATCCGGGCAGAGAGGAGACTGAACCCTCGCCAGGCTAGGTGGGCCATGTTTCTTACCCGATTTGAATTTAAGCTCACCTATAGACCAGGGTCACAAAACGCTAAGGCAGACGCCCTGTCACGACGATATGACACAGAGGAGAGGTCCATTGAGCCCACTCCCATACTTCCGGAGTCTTGTCTGGTGGCACCGG